GTTCTGAAACTGGCCACTCGACATAATTAGTTGTAATAAATTGAATGCAGGACATTTGACTTTTTCTACACTGTGCTCACTTTAGCTTAATCTGAGTAATTCCTCCACTATTATACACTTTCACCATAAATGAAAGCCTTCTCTCGCCTGTTCTTGATTGTTACACACCCTCCCATGAAGTCAATCAGCAGACGAACAGCTCTTAACAGGTCATGTGTAGTAACGCTGCAGACTTATTCTACAACAAATATTATCATTATGAGCTAAATTCCTGAAACCTTGTGCCAAGGCTTTACGCTGAGCTGCCCCCAGCGCCAGCCCTGGACTCGGCGGTAAAGAGGGGGTGAGGAAACAGGAGTAATAGCGCTTAAAGGTTGGGGATTTTCCCCTCAGTTCAGGCTCTGTAGTAAGCTGTAGTAAGTCACTGCTCACATGCTGCTCAGAGGAATTCGAACGTGCCAGTCATGTGTTGTTCACAGTCGCTCTGTAGAAACTCGTGCTGAAGACTACCTTAATGACTATCTGTATTATTTTGGTGTTGTTCTGCTGGGGGGGTGGGGGGGGGTCACAGCCAGTTGCCTCCTAACAACAGACGGAGACTGCTGCTGTTGCTACTGCCATGTCTGGCTTGGACAGTTTCTATGGCAACCCACCCACAGGATAGCGATATGTACGACCGTAGAGGAAGCCGGGGTTGCTAAGGGCTATGGATAATGATGAGACTTTGCTTTCTTTCTGTTTCTCCCACACAACAAACAGAGATGATACGGTGGCTGCAGCTAAACACTTTCTTTTTCATCAAGTAGTTCTGCGAGCGAACATTTCACGGGTTCGTAACCGAGGCGGCCTGACCGCGCCGCACTCAAAGCCGTGCGCCGATAATCGTGGCAGACTGAATTTAAATGCTTTATTTATTTTATTTTTATTTTTTTTAAAACCCCTTGAAATTTCCCCACGGTTCAGATTCATGCTTCTTCTTTAGTTCGTAGGCAGTTGCCTCACGCCGGGCGCTCGCCTTTGTTCTCTGTCTGCGGTCTCCTCCGTGGCGTTCGCTGAGCAAATACTCGACTTGTTCACGCGGCTCAATCCGTTCCCGTGTTTCATGCTGATTGGGTGAGGAGCCTATGACACTCGTTAAGGCTTTTAGTGTAATTATATCTGCTCCTCGTGTAGACAAATGAATTACTTTTGCAGCGCAGGAATGGAGTATTACAAAGTATGAGACTAACAGAACATGAAAGACGAGAAAACACAATTTGAATGATAGTTAATAATGCATATTGGCTTTTACTGGCCTCCGTCTACAACATCAATAGAGCTGAGCTTCCTACACGAGTTCCTGACCTCTGATCTCTCCCGTCTTCATAAAGTCAATTTTATTCTCTTCACAAAAGAGACAAACTAATTAACAAGAGGAATGCAAGAGTAAAGTAAAGATATGAAATAAAATGGCTAAACGAACAAGAAAGACCTTGAGATTAATAAATAAAAAATAAAATCCACCTTTATTTTGATCCTGGGAGCTTCGCTAAAGAAGCGACTTGGCTTCTCTTGAAGGCGTTTCACTTCTCAGGCTATAGTTGTATCTGATTAGTGGAGTTTTTAAACATCGGAAAGGACATTGTTCAGTATTTTATTCTCCACACAATGAGTTAATTAGAAAAAACAATAAAAACAACTGTAAGATTAACAAGTGAAACATCAGATAATAAGTAGAGCACAGTGTGTTGTTTTTCTGAACCAGGAGTGACTTTAGTAAATGCAGACTGATTATTAGAAGTTACGATTGACACTGGAAAGGTCAGGCGTCCTGGGATTTGCTGTCATTTAACGTTAGGGACTTGTGTGGGGAAACCCGACCTTATCGATACCCCGCATAACTCATCACCTTGTAGAAGAGTCACGTCCGTACGGTCGCTGTGCCGCTATCGATTGATGTGGGGTCTTTTTTTCCCGTCCAGCCGGTCGTCTCCCGGGGAGGAAGTGATGTTAATACCCCCAGACTGCCTCTGCTTGTCCACCGAACGGGCAGCAAGGAGCGGGTGTGTCAGAAAATCAAGCGCTGAATGGGGACCGCGACACGCTGTCGTGGCCTCTACGGTGTTCGACGAACAGTTTGTGCTCACTTTCCAGAATAAATGAATCATCTCGCTTGACTCTCGCATGAATTATTTTCTTGGCAGATTCGAAACAGGAATTAGAAATTAGAGAACTATACTGAGATCACAAAACGACAAGGTTGAAGCTGCACTTTATGTAAGAAAAAGATCCTTGTGTCAGTAGAAGGAGAAAAAAATACGATATTTTCAGTCTTTGCACCAGCACTTGTCCATCTTCTCACCTTTTTTTTCCCCCCTCCAACATTCTATTGCCCGCCCTGTTGCTCTCTTCATTGCTCACAAGATGAATTTTTATCGACTCATACAGCTGAAAATATTCAAGTGTGCCTGTGGTCAATATAGTTCAGTCGCTCCATTCATTATGTTCGGCTCAGTCAGACCTCGCAATGAAATACCAAAAGCGCCTCGAAAATGATTAAGCCGTTCTTTCTGTCTTTTTTCTTTTTTTCCGCCCTTGCCTTTCACTCTTCTGGACGTATGAGCTTTACAAGCCCTGGAAAATGAAAGCCTTATTTCAGTCTATCGGCTCTTTATCCCACTGTGTCGTGTCTCTGGTGAATTCACCTGGGGTTATATCGGCTAAAATTAGACTCTCAATTATGAGCAATTACCGTCAGGCCTGTGGGCCCCACAGTGTATTCACTCTCTCGCTCACACCCGCACTGCGCCACGCCACTCCAGTTCTGTTGCGTGGTCGGGTTAGGTACCGGCAGTAAAGTGAAAGTATGCTGGGGAGAAGCCGCGCTCGCACTTCCTCAATCTTGGTTCGTCTTGTACTTTGTGACTGAGCACCGGTGGAGGCTGTTAGCCGTCTAACACGCCGCACAATTAGACTTGCCCCGTAGGCTTTCTTAGAGCAGTGTAGCATAAATATGGACGACATCTATCACGTCGGAGGCCTGCTGTAATTGCAGATACTTAAGCTAAAAGAAAAAATGATAACAAATGAGCAGATTCACGGGCCTGAGGGCGACCTGATGGCGGAGTAGTTAGAGCACATAACACATGGGCTGAATTATCCTCAGCAGCAGAGTGTCTGCTGTGACTTCCGGCCGGCTGGACCTCGTCACTTCTTCACTGTCTGTAAATACCGTGCTGCACAATTACAGGGAACAGTGCAGAAGACAGCCCATACCTGCCTATAACATCAAAATACACGTCTGTAATATACCATCACACGTTCAGATAAGGTGTGCTCACATCAGAGACCTAAAAGGAAAAGTCACATTTTGTGTTTTTCCTACTTGTGCACACAAATATCTATCAGATGTATGGTGATGTGTAATCTCAAAACCATGAAACCGAACCAGTTTGGAAGCAAGTCGAGAAACTCTACAAAGCAGCCGTCATAAAAACACCATCATCTAACTTGTGACGTAAAACTACTGTTGTTAAAGTCCTGAGGAGTGTCTGAAACAGAGAGGGCGTTTCAACTGATGATTCTTTGAAGGAATCTCCACAACTGCGTGTCTGAAAATGTGCACTGGGAACCAGTCGGAGCCCATTATCACAGCCGTCCCTTGTTAATGCTGGTGCTCAGTCATTCTAGCTGTAAGTGGTGTTCAGGGGAGCTCGCTGCTGGATAATGGAACACGTTTTTAGTTCTCAACTAACCTGCCGTGATCGCATTTTCAGGGAATCAATTAATCTGTGCACCACAGCGGTCAATAAACAACACATCTGGTGAGGTTCGATATATTTTATAGTCAGTGTTATTTTAAATCCTGCTTTTGAATGCGTGGTCGCCTTATATTTGCGTATACAGCTCACCTGTGCTCCGTTGCACTAATGCAAATCTGCAGGTTGAGGAAGGGCAGCTACCCGTGCAATGCATGCATAACCAGTTTAATGGCTGCCGTACAAGTCCCAAACCAACACCAAAACCTGATATATAGCTCATTCCTCTGTGCCAAAAACCAGTCACCATGCAGAGCAAATATCATAAGCTGCTGCTTTTGGGGTCGTTAACGTGATATGAAGCAGAAATGAAGGCGTCTTTTGATCAGAAAACGTCAGACGTTACCAGAATAACTTTTGCCAGTTTAACTGCTGATCACAGATTCACTTCCCTTTACTGAACCTCTGCTCTGTACGGCCCACTGCACACTTAAGCTACAACGAAATGACGTGAGCAGACTTAAAGGTGAAATCATTGTCTCACTTCTGGAGTATATTTCCTCTTTAAGTTTCATCGTAGTTGTGCAAATTAAAGTATTGGTTTAGATGAATAATTGCATCAGTTTGTCCTTTTTCTGCGATCTGTTGACATCAAACAAAACAAATGTACTCGAGATAACTGACAAACGCGACAAATAATTTCAAAATAAACACTTAATAGGTGGTTTAGTGCATCAGTGTTTAGTACAAGAATCAAACGGGGATTCTGTTGCTCAAGTTTTGAGGAACTGCTTCGACGAGACTTCAATTAGTTGATCTGAAACATAAACTAAAAGCGGTCCAGTTGTGTTTAAGACACGCCGTCCACCGCTGGTAATTCCCCTCGCTTTGCCTGTGTGAAATATCACCTCACATTGTCTCGTGGAGTGACTACAGAGAATGGGTGTAATACTATGGCAGATTACCTCTGCCATTCACAGTGTGCGGATTAGGCCCACGGCAAATTAGGAAAAGTAGGTCGAACAGGATCCATCTCTGTCCTCGTAGTGTTTTTTTTTTTGTCCACATTTAAAGGGAGATTGTTCAGCTCTCGACAAAGTGGAGAAAGAAACAACTGAACTACTTCTCCAAACTCATGACTAGACGTTTGGTTTCATTCCTAACGCGCTGTTTGGTTCAGATGTTTATCCAGGATTCATCACAATACAAGTTTTTTTCTTCTTCACAAATTCCAAATAATGTTCCTCGTGTAGCTTTTAAGTCATGTCCTCCACTGAACTCTCTTCCCGTCCCCCAGGCCAGGAGCGCTTTGGGAACATGACGCGGGTCTACTACAAAGAGGCTGTGGGGGCATTTGTGGTGTTCGACGTGACGAGGGGCTCCACGTTTGAGGCCGTTTCTAAGTGGAAGCACGACCTGGACAGTAAGGTGAAGCTGGCTAACGGCAGCCCCATCCCTTCGGTGCTGCTGGCTAATAAATGCGATCAGAAGAAAGAGAGCTCCAACAACACAGCCCTCATGGACAATTTCTGCAAAGAGACTGGCTTTCTGGGCTGGTTTGAAACATCGGCTAAGGTGAGAAATCATTACTAACACTTCTTTAATGATTTTTTCCTCTGTGTTCAGATAACAGGCTTCTCTGTAAAATATTTCCCTCTTTTGATGCTCTAGTGTTTCTGCAACAGAAGTGTTTTTTCATCACGGGGATACATATTTCCTTTCATGTACCTTAAACATGATTTGTGCTAATTTTGGGAACATATTTGTGGCAAATCAGATGTGAAAAGAGCTTTAAAAGGCTCACAAGTAAAAATAAAAGGAGTCACCAGGTTTTTTTTCCTTCTATTTTTGACTGAAAAGCTCATGGCAAACAGGAAATCCTCTGAAGTTATCCTGCGGGGAAGCTGGGCCCCTTCTGAATGGTGTAATCGCCCTGGTTGCATTGTGGTTATTGAGAAATAGTTCCATGTTGTAATGGTTTTTGTCAGTCAGCAGTAGGAAGCTAAAGCTTTGATACAAAATTCAACATAAGGTTTAGATGTTTGTAGAATAAAAGTTCCAATATCTTTGCATTTTTTAAACAATTAAGCAGTCGTTGTATAAAACTGTACAAATGATGCTGGAGTCTGATGTCTTTGCCGTGCATGCACAACATCCAGTGACAAATCTGGCTGGTGTGATACGGTATCATGTGACAGTGATTGATGTGGCAACCCAGAGCTGCAAGGATCACCAAGCTAGGGCCCTAAAAGATAATGTTTCGTAGCGTTACTCCTTAACTTGGTGTCACGGTTTGGCGTTACCGTCTTGATGTGTTTTGCTCTTGCACCAGGAAATTAGCCTGCAGTGTTAACTGAAGTAAAAGTGGGTTTTGTTTGTTTGTTTGTTTTTAATTTAGACCATTTATGAGAGCTGATAAAACATTTAGGGCTGCGGGGTGGTCAGTGGTTAGCGCAGCTAGAAGGTTGCCGGGAGTCTCCATGTTCTCCCCGTGCAGCGTGGGTTCTCTCCGGGTTCTCCGGCTTCCTCCCACAGTCCAGAAACATGTTGAGGTTAATTGGTGATTCTAAATTGTCCGTAGGTGTGAATGTGAGTGTGCTTGGTTGTCTGTCTCTAAGTGTAGCCCTGTGATAGACTGGTTACCTGTCCAGGTGAACCTGCCTTCACCCTGAGTCGGCTGGGATAGACTCCAGCCCCCCATGACCCTCGTGAGGATTCAGGTGTAGAGATGATGGATGGATGGATACAACATTTAGCATTAAAAAAAACTTCTTCTCAATCGTCCCTCTACTGGTCATGTCAACCAAATCCAAGCTTAAAATTCCGATATTTCATTGAAATCACTTCATCAATCCTCATTCAGAAAGAATCGTCAGAAACAAACAGTTTGCACCAGATCCTGCATTCCTCAGTGCAACTGAGACGCCGTGACTGAATCAGCTGCAACCGGCAGTCACATGACAAAAGAGAGAGGAGATGACATGAGAGAATGAGAGCAAAAATAATTCAATCAGTTTAACTTTACGGCGTTGTAACGTTGTCATACTGCACTGAAGACATTTCTCGCTGCTAGTAGCCATGGATGGGCTGTTTCTGTACAGAAGCTGGTCTTTATATTGGAGTGAAAAATGAAGCCGCAGTGAGTAGAAGTGAGACGGGAGCAAAAAACTGCTCGGGGGGGTTCAGATGATTAATGTCTAGAAATACCACATATTATGAGAATATTGGATGATTATTACTTACTGTTTGTCAAAATGACACTAATTCTAACTGGTTTAATTACTGTTGGGTGGTTTAATCCATGAAATTGCACCATGGTGGTAAAAGTACCTCAAATTTCCACAAATCTGCGTCGTTACTTTCAACAGATGGAGGACAAATGAAGGTAAAAATCTCAAGTTTCATGGTGTTCAATTGGATTGAGATCTTGTTAATCCATCCATTAGCTTTGGTGGTCTATAGATATAGACTCCCATCAATTTACAAATATTTCATTATAGGATAAAGGTGACAACTTTGTGTTGATTTGCGGTGATCCTTTTCTCTTCGGGGACAAACTATGCCAGCAAAATGCCCCACAAAGCCTCACACCACTCCATCCCCTCACTTCAGGGATCAAGAGTTTAGGTTTTTCCTTTAATCTGTCACCCATCTGTACCAATGACTCATCAGCAGGTAACTGTGTGAGCGCACAACGCTGGCTAAACGCTGCTTGTGTTCAGTTCTGAATTGTTTGTCTTGAACAATTCTAAGTTTTCCTGATGAGTATTTGAACCACAGTAAATGACTATTTTCCTCACCTCCTCTTCCCGTCACCTTTGTTTTCTTACCGAGGCCAGTCTTCTACAAAACTCACAAGTCTGCACGCCAGGAAACACTTGTGAAACCCGCGAGTACATTTTTTAAAACAATAACCATCTGTTGTGCTTCGACGTGTTGGTATGCTTAATGAACTCAGAATGAGCCGACTTGATGAAGTCATTCCAGATAACTTTTGGTCCTGGAGCTGTCACGTGCCGCGTCATGTGAAGTGTGTGGGTGTGTGGGATGAGTGCAGCGCCGTTTCCTCTCTGACAGTGTGCTCAAGTGTTGTTGTTTTATGTGCCTGTCACGCTGGTGTTAAACTCAGCCCACAACAACCTGTGATTGGAAGGGGAGTACCAAAGTTTCTGACTGTTAAGATGATGAGGCACGTAGGTCCTTCAAGGCTGTACGAGAGAATAACGCTCAGTCATGATGAGATGTGAACTGTTGTCATCGCAGTTTTGTTTTGTTGGTTGTTGGGGCTGAAGTGTGTCACTTTGTGAAACACTGAGGGACTGTTCATTCAAGTGCCACTGCTGGAATAATTCTTGACCTTTGTAGCGCAACATTTTATTTACACATGCAATATTTTATTAAATATTAAACCACGCTTTCTGAATCTACACTCACCCTTTGGTTGCCTTTATTCAAGCTGTCCCAAAGGAGTGTACTACGAAGCAAGTTTGACAAAGCCGGGCTTTTTTTGTGAAAGCTGGCTTGACTAAACCTTAAACACAAATCAGTGATAATGGGTATCATGATGGTGGTGATTAATTTTCTTTGAGTTTTATTTATTATCTCCCATAAACAATGATGTGTGACATGTCACATGACTCGTATTTTTAACAAAATGGACTGATCATGTGCTGCCTGCTTCACTTGGTGTACTGCAGAGGAATGCTGGTAAAATAAAAAAAGTTCATTGTGTAAGTATATTTGTTTTACCACTCGGTGCCTCTCAATTCAGCCACGCGACAGCTACAACATTAGAACTTCTAAATTTCATTCATTTGAACGCGTAATAAAGAAGTGCTTCATCCCATAATGAAGAATCACTTTGGTTTTTGGTCAATAAAAAGTGAAGCCAATGTTACTGATTAACTTTTCTCTGTGATAAATACCAATGGACTAATCAATTTTCTAATCTGTGTTCTATCAGCTGCAATACGAGCGCTGTAATGCGGACTCGGCCACAAATCAGGTCCAAGCACAACAACATATTAATGCATTTTCTGCATCACTAACGGGATGCATGTAGGTTTCCATTCCATTTGGTGCTACTGTAACTCCATGGATTCATTTAGGCACATTACTACCCCTGAGCTGACAATAGCAAATTTAAATCCGTACCGCTGAACAGAACGTCCACCTGAGCAGGTTAACTTTGCAACATGGTGATCTAGCAGGTTGATGGAGGACCACCGTCATGAAACTGAAAACTCAGACTCAACATTCCTCGCAAAGACATTAGTCTTATTTTTTTATTCCAGCCCTCAGGCGTCTTTGTGAGCATCTTTGCCATTGATATCCATGACCTCCTCAACCCATGACATGAGAGCTTTTGGTCACAGGGTGGAAGAGTAAAAGCCAGTATTTAGCTGGCCTCTGCTGCCCTTAGATTGGTTCCTCCAGTGTTGCTTTAGTAAGTCGGTTCATATAAGGGTCTTTACTGTCTATCCCAAGCAATTCTCTCGAGAAGCTGTTTTCTACAAACACTGTTATGCAGATGGAAGCAAAGGAAAAGTCTGCTTTGCCACAAAGGTGCAAATGCGTTGGGGCGTGGCCGAATATCGCAGCCAGTATTTGAGATTTTTCAGATTATTGGTATTTTTTATTAATCATTGACAAATTTAATGTGCTCCTTCAGGTCTAATGCAGCCCTCTCTTTCTGCCTGTCGTCACTTTGTGGTCTCAGAAATGTCTCTCGAGCAGAGACTGTAAAAACTGAACAAGAAACACAAGCCGTTGCCACAAACCAGGACATCAGCAACTCTCACAGTGGCTAAGGCGATGCCAACGGCTCACGACTAAGTTAGAAGGTAGCCACAAATTACAGTGGAAAACAATTATTAATAATGCTTTATGATGTGAACCTTAGTGGGCAATAAAAATAACAGAACGGTCATAGATTACGCAATTACAAATGAATAGCAGACGTAACTGCAGGAGATAAACTCAATTAATCCCTCATAAACAGAGGAGAGTGTCCTAGTTTAATCACTCCGGTTTCTTTTTTGCATACTCAATTATGATCACCCTTATCAAAAAAGAATGTCAGGTCCTCTGCTATAACATGCTGTTAAAACATTGCATTTCATGTGTATCAATTCCAAATATCAGGCCTTTTCTTTACCAAGATTCGGCGTCGGTATCTAACCCCATATTGGTCGATCCCAAGAATGTACAATATTTTTTAATACCAGTGTTATCACCTCATTGACGTCCTGTTTTGATGTCTTTTCAGGACAACATCAACGTGGATGAGGCAGCGCGTTTCCTGGTAGAGAATATCTTGGCTAATGACAAAGGTTTGCCTTACGAGGAGAGCAACGGAGACCGGATCAAACTGGACGACCCCGTGGCTGCTGAGAGCAAGTCGGGCTGCTGCTAACACTCAATCCATCCGCATTAGCCGTCCGCCTTCCTTTGGCAGGGTCCATCGAGTGCACCCTGCCTGTGGCTCCAGCTCTCTCCATTGCAGCCTCGAAGAGGAATAGGACTCCTTTTTTTTTTTGGCTCCTCAAAGCTCCAGGAACTTCTCTCTGCACTGATGTCCACTTGACCTGCACATCCAAGTTTCTCATAGCTGTTCAAATGCTGTTTCAGGATCTTTATAGTTGTCTTTGTCCCATCACAAGCCCTGATTGTGTACTCCACCACCAACTATTAACCCCACTCAGCTGTCCACATATGCTGCCTTGACAACCTTTGAAGTCCTGGACTGTACCGCGCCGGAGAAGGGGCGTAAACCGAACAGGAAGCTGAGAAACGAGCTCGAAAACAACCTGTAGCCTTTTGATTAGTGACACTTTGGTGTACTGTCTCAGTAATCTTGGTTTATGTTGATGTCACTTTGTCTGTGAAACTAGACATTTTATTGTTTTTCTGTCACTCTTTAGATAACATAGATTGACGTTAATGTCGCTTAAACATTCGACGTACGGCGCGCCCTCGTTTATGTCCCCAGCTGTTCTCAGATTAGTATGAAGTCAGTAAATGGGCATCGTAGTTGAGTTTTATCAAAGTGTTTTCATATCTAAAACTGCTGTCAAAATGTGTTGTCTTTATGCCATATGTTGTCTGAAATAAGGTGCCATAATACACACCATTTTTAAACAAATGTTAATCAGGGGCTGGGTCATACTTTACATTCATCACACCACGAGCATGCTGATGGACAAAACAGTATTTATGTTAAAAGAAAAGAACTCTAATGATGGTACTGTGTGAGACATTAGGAAACCTTTGTTTGATTGTCTGTCCACTGGTATGGTAATACTATAGGTCCGAGTGTGTTTTAAAATTGAATCAGACAGAGGACCACACTCGGTCGTGCCTCGGGTTGCTCATCTGTTGAAGTGTTCAGATGGAATCAGAAGGATTTTTTTTTTTATCATGTTTACATGTGGAAAATACTTACAATCTTCAAGACCAAAATAGAATAAACATTTTAACAGATTTGTGTCGTCGTTTTTATTGTGATCGGACTGTTCGCCTGATTCAACTGATTCAGTGTTGTTATCTATATCTGTTCACTTCCATTTACATACAAGTTGCTTATAGATGAATTTTGTGACTGTTTCCCAAGTTTGGATTTTTACAGTTCAATGTCTAAAGCAAATGTTTCTGATTATATTATCTTGCAATTTTTTCTGGCACGTACACGTCTCAGATCAAGCGTGCTGAGCTGGGATTATTCTCATATTAACAAATTTCTTAATAGCAAACTGTACAAGCAATAAGGCCGGGGGCATGTTCTCGGGACTTGACCAGAATGGCTGCAATAACTTACCAACTGTGAAAACACAGATACTGTATGTATATGCGTACAAGACATTTGAAAAAAAAAATACTGCTGTGTAACAGTAAGTTTCCATACAAAGGACTGTGGATTAAGCTGTGTGTGATAAGCACAACAGACGTCATGTTTGTGTGTGTGAGAGTGTGTGTGTGTGTGTGTGAGAGAGAGAGAGCAGGCATGTGACTCCACTCAAGGAATAGAGTGTGATAGTCATCAGACATGCTGCTCCCAATGCTGAGGCTTGTGCTCCTCCACACACCTAGCTGATTGTTACCAGAGCAGAGCAGGAATGCACTGGAGGCCTGACAGTTGGGTTGTGTACAAGCATTACAGCAACTCCTGTTTACTGCCAGTTTACTGCCCCCACCCCCACCCCGGCAATATCCTGTGGTGTTACTGTATTGGATGGACTGCAGTTTGTTCTTTTGAAAATTTCTAACAATTAGTCCATTTTCTGGCGGCTTACACGCAATGCAATCAAACCAGATGTTCAATAGGTGACTCATAGTTTTGAGCTCGCTTGTGCAGCTGCGCCGTAGCAACAGGTGACGCAACAGCTCCAGGCCCCGCCCACGGCGCAGTTTGGTTGCGTAGCAACGCTCAAACTTTCAAGAGCAGAGTCGTTAGAGACGCCAAAGAAGCGCAGCCCCCGGCAGGCTTCCTGCTTCGTTACGTTTTTACGTTCTTGTTCTGGTTTCACACCAGAAAAAAAAACATGCCAAAGACGCAGGCAAAGGCAGAGAAGTCTTCTTCCAGCAAAAAGTCTCTATCTGACCGACAAACAAAGTGAGTTTGGGTTAGCGTTCGTAAGTGGCAGTCATGGTTAGCTTTAGCTTTAGCTTAGCTACAAACCATGAAAATATCGAAAGCCCACGAGCCACTTAAGAATAGTTTTACTTTATATTACACACGTCAAAAAATTGCTAACTACTTAAGAAATGCTGTACCTCATAATACACGTGTACTTTATAGTACACATGTCAAAAGCCTGCCAGCCACTTAAGAATAGCTGTACTTTATATTACACATATACTTTATATTACACAAGGTATGTGTGTAAATACAGTCTGTGATTATCATAAGACAGCAGCCAGCCAGCAATATTGCTTACTATCCCCTTCGCTGTCAGAGTTTGGTGGGTTTCATTCCATACATAAGCTCTGGCACTGAGCTGGCCAATTCTGATGCTAAATACTGGCAAAAAAAAAAAAAAGTTAGATAAGACAACATGAAGATGATCAGCTATATGTCATCATTTCAGAGCAACGTCCTTGGAAGCCACTTCCTCAAAGAGCCTCGAAGGTGTGGGCAGCTGCAGATCCCCCATTTGGCCTGAGTGGAATGATGCTGAAGTCGCCGAGGAAAAATGGGGCTCAAGGAATGGACCTAAAGATCGGAAGAGAAAAGAGAGTTCCAAAACTGTAAACGTAAATGAGTAGAATATGTGTGAAACTGGGAAAGAATTTATTAATTTGCCCTCAACAACAATATGCTTCACACGGCATCGGGAATGTGCACTTTGCTTCAATCCCACTCCACAGTTTAAACTCGTTTTAACATCTTGTGTCTCACGTTCACCTCGTTTGCTTTTGTCTGCAGCCATTTTTTGAAGATCCAGAAGGGAAAATTTCTCTGCCTCCATCTTTGAAAGTGCACACTTGGAAGCGCCCTGGAGAGTTTATTATTGACAAGGTAGCCTTTGTACCTCTATAAAAATCATATGGTTCTTAATGACACAGCGCACTGTATGCTGAATGTCCACCTGTCCCTGTCTGGCAGTGTGACTGTGGTTTATCGCAGAATATTATGGTGTATCCTTTTATCCAGCAGTTTCTATACACAGTCATATAAATGCGAAAGGATAACAGAGTTCAGGATATGTGTCATGTGCCTTTACACATATTGGAGATGCTATGATTTTATGTCAGCTGACATTAGGTCAATTGATTGTATTTTAACTGTTACCTGATCATACAAAAACACACATTAGCTTGTTTTAGTATCCTGTACCACTGTACAATGAGCACATTTGGACCATATGTTTGGACACAATGCTTTCTTTGTGTAGCCTTACATGTTTTAGCAAAGCATATGTCTTTGCCACACTGTGAAGTGTAGTTAAGGAAATATGCTCTCTAGTCACCTCCAAAGGAGTTTTAATTGCATCACTCCACTTTTCTGTTACCCTTGTCTCAGTGCAGTATTGAGCAATTACTGGAAGCTTCCTGTTTTTCGAATTAGCCCTTGCCAGGTCACACGCTGCCTTTCCACTCAAGATGTCAGAATCATTTCGTTAATTTCATACAAGAGGAGCACGGGCTAATCACAAAAAAGGAATCAGTTGGGCAGAAGCAGGCAGCGGCTCTTCTGTGATTTTCTTTCAAATCTACACCAAACTGTATTCCTTAGATTTTTGGATATTATTTACAGAAATAATGTAAAGTCTAGCTCTTGTTTAGAGTTGCCCGCAAAGGGAGAAAACAAAAGCCCTCCATTCCTGCAGCCAATCTGTCTCACAATCATCTGACCCATTAATTTGTTTTTAATTAGTAACATGGTAGGGTCTATTAACTTGGTAGTCAAATATTCATCACAGATGCAGTCTTGGGAGTGCCAAGGCGAGGTTGGACCAGTTTAGGCCCTGGGATGTGTAGGGAAGCATTATGTAGGCCACGAATTCATTCTATTTTAAACAGATGACCTGTGACATCAATTTTCTAAAGCTGGTTGACCACTGCGCAAGTATAATGAATGATTCTGTTTTGGACACATACAACAATAAACTGTATGACAGCCTGAGCACGGTCTTTCGGTCCGTTATTTGTGAAGGTGTAATTATTCTCAGGTCAATGTGCCTACAGGAAAACTAATAATGTGCTTTTATTTAGGACATCACTGTTGTCAACAATCAGATGACCTTTGACCTGGTCTTTCCCAACGATCATCTGCTTCGCAGTGAGGTTAGTTTTCAACATTTGTTCTTCACTTTGACTTTTCTTAGCCAGTATTGATCAGTGCTTGGATGTCAACAAAGTGATGTTTGACTAACAGCAATGAATTAGACTGCAGCAATGCAATTCCCTCATCCCCCCCATCATTCAGTCAATAGATTTAAAGATTGGTAGAATCATAATTATTTTGCTCTCTCTTTCTATCCCTTCTCTTCTCCGTGTTCCATCAAGCTGATGAGATGGATCATCAGTGAGATCTATATTGTATGGACGCTGTCTAAGTCTGCGTCAACAGAGCAAGATGACTGGAGACCTTGGGAGCACATCTACTCGCTTTGTGAGGTGGAGAAAGGTCATGTGCCACTCTACAACAGCTATGGGAAATATGTGGTCAGACTTTACTGGATGGTAAGCCTTTCATAATCCACACATAAATGCAAACACATATTCCCGCATAATTATGGAACCAGAGGAGGTTTTGTTTGTTCTCATTTAAAAGGAGATGGATTTTTTTGTTTTGAGCTTAATACCAAAATGCAGGACATGGTAGAAAATCCAAATATTCTGGAGAAATTCACCGCCTCACAATGCCTCTTTGATAATTACACGTTTCTAGGGGCGCAGTTTGGTGGCATAAGATGGCATTACGTTGTTCAGCAGACCCCACAGGATGCAGCAGATGAGAGCGGAATGGGGATGGACCGATGGATGGAGGGGGGGAAGGGATGAGAGAGCCTTATCCTCTCAGAGCTCAAATCAATCAGTCTCGCTGCTGTGCCAAAAGTGGCTGGGGCTTCATACATTGCTTGATGAATAGATAAGGCTTAACAGGAGTCAGCTGCTTCTCAGAGAGCAAGGCTCAAGTTAGATATCTACACTTAGCAAGACTCTGTCGGCAGGGAGGAATTTATGCATGGCACCGTCATTCATTTTGATTATGTGTTGAGTGTTGGGATTTTACAGATTCTTTGGCTCCATACCAAAACTCATCGTTGCAGTGGGATACGGCTTCGTCGTCGCTATCCTGTGAGCTTCAGTATGTGCCACAGATCTCTAAGTAGCGGACACTACATCATTATGTCTTCTCAGAGAAAGGGAACTTCTTCCTGCACAACAATTTGGGTCAGCAAGAGAGTGAAAAAGACAGAGCTAAAAGTGGTGGTGTTCTGTAACACTGTGACTCTTGACAAACAAGCATGACACGGTTGTAGGCAGCAGTCCCCGTGCCAACCATAGCACGCTAGCAGATGGTTGTTGAGATGGCATTAAGCACCCAGCCCCCATCCTCTGTTCTCATTTCCTTTTCTGTTTTTGCTCTTAGACGACTTCTTTTCTCCTGCTCATCTGATCCTTTATTGTTCCACACACCTCCCTCTCTCTCTCTCTTTTTTTTTTTCAACTTTCTCTCTCACACTGACGTAAGTGTTCATCAAATTTTCATTTTCTTGTCCTGCTTTTTACAATCCTACAACTCTGTCTCTGTCTCTCTCTCGCTTTTTTTTTTTTTTATCTCTCCTTTAACGTGGCCCTTTGCACTGTATTTCACCCCGTGTGTGAACACATCAAGCTCCTGCTTTGGGCACTGGTTTGACAGGAAAATGGAAGAACAAGTGAGAAGCGGAGTGTGGCTGCCTGCGCCGTGCAGATTCTTGCATTACGTGTGCACACTGTTCTGATAGATAACAAGAGGCACAGCTGTGAACGGTCAGTCACATTATCGCCTGCTTGTGCTGCTTTTCCCTACAAGCGGTGTGAAACTCCCCCAGACGGCCCCACAAACAACAAGCTCTGACACAACGCAGCATTCTGAGATGCAAGCATAAGGTAGCTAATGTTGGGAGAGAAGAATTCTGGGAGGATGCTGAATCAATAGCTGGAATTGCACATGGGGCTTGGGGAGAAAAGGCCACTTATGGTGCTTATTGTGATGATGTGAGGGCATTACATAATACGCTATAGTAGAGATTCACACATGCCTGCTAACATAAGATCCAAGTTGAGGCAATAATAGCAGAAAGTCAGCGCATATAGTGGAGTTGCAGGAGGAGCTCTCAGCAAGCAGCGTTGGCCTGAAGGTATCAGCCAAGAAAAAGTGAGAATTGTAAGGCTGTGAAGGCTCGTATGAATATTATTAATCAGCTGGTGGTGGATAATGTGAAAAAGAGGCTGAGTATGACCACACCTCTGCTCTGCCTGACTTAAAGCAGTGCATGACTCAGGTCTGACAATCAGAATCAGATTTATTGCCAGGTATAGTTCACACAATAAGAGGAATTTGTTCTGGTGGGTTGGTGCAACAAAACAACAATAAGTGTAGAGTAAATAATAAATATACAGTAAATAAAGTAACTAGAAATAAAAATAGCTGTAATAGTGCAAACAACTGTAATAGTGCAAAGAATCAAAGTTAAATTTAAATAAGAACCACGGAACAGTGTTGTTTTGATATATTGTTATTTACATTTATACAGATATAGAAGGGGGTCCGTGGGGGTCCTGTGCCTTGTTCATGAGGCCGTGGTAGATAAAAAGTAACGGTTTTTGTGGCGTGAGGTTCTGGTCCTGATGGACCGAAGCCTCCTGTCAGAGGGGTGTGATTGGAAAAGTTTGTGTCCAGGGTGGGAGGGGTCACGCCTCAGAGTCCTGGAGGCGTGCAGGTCCTGGAGAGAATGCAGATTGCAGCCAATCACCTTCTCGGCTGAGCGGATGATACGCTGCAGTCTGGCCTTGTCCTTGGCCGTTGCTGCAGTGTACCAAATGGTGATGGAGGAGGTGAGGATGGACTCGATGATGGAGCTGTAGAAGTGCACCATCAACTGTGTTGACAGTCTGGATTTCTTCAGCTGCCGCAGGAAGTACATCCTCTGTTGTGCTTTCTTAATGAGAGAGCTGATGTTCAGCTTCAGCTTGAGGTCCTGGGTGATGATGGTGCCCAGGAAGCAGAAAGACTCCACAGGGTCCACTGGGCAGTCTCTCAGGGTGATGCGGGGGAGTGGGGATGTGTTCCTCCTGAAGTCTTCATTCATCTCCACTGTCTTGAGAGCGTTGAGCTCCAGGTTGTTCAGCTGGCACCAGGACACCAGCCGCTCTGTCTCCCTCCTGTAGGCAGACTCATCTCCATCAGAGATGAGCCCAGTGAGGATCGTGTCATCCGTGAACTTCAGGAGTTTGACAGACTGGTGTCTGGAGGTGCAGCTGTTTGTGTACAGGAAGAAGAGCAGAGGGGAGAGAACACAGCCCTGAGGGGATCCAGTGCTGATGGTCCAGGAGTCCGAGATGTGTTTCCCAGCTTCACGTGCTGCCTCCTGTCAGACAGGAAGTCTGTGATCCACCTGCAGGTGGACGCTGGCACGTTGAGCTGGGAGAGCTTGACCTGCAGGAGAACCGGGATGATGGTGTTGAATGCAAATTACAAATGTGACCACACAGAAGCTCAAATATATGACTAAGACTGCACATAGTAGAGAACAGTATTAACTAGTTGCTGTGAGGTGTTCAAGAGGGGTTAAGCATTACCAGGACACATAGAGAGAGGTAGCTGCACCAGGGCCACATGTGTAGATTCATGTATTTTATCTGAAAAAGTACAATACTGATAATGAGAAAAATGCACAGCATTAGATCCATTAATTGGCCAGTTTGATTAAGTCGGCCCCTGCTTTCCAAACAGAATTTATATTTTGGGAATTTTGGGACCCAGGGAAGGAGCATTTCTGTCTGTAATTAAAAATAATAGAGACAGCCTCATTCGTTTCACCTAAGCGGTTAATGAGTAGGATGTATTTGGCTTCATTGTACGAAACAATTGCTGTTTCAATCTTTAATTTTTCATCAGAAATTCTGCACATGTGCTGACCTAAAAATGTATGTTATCCTAAAAATGACTGGCTCCAGTTGGCAAAATAATCTACCATAAATCAGTGCCTTGTCGTTTATACACTGTGGTTTGTATATCAAATAAATAAATAAGTTTTTTAGTGTGTGTTAGTGAGATTTCGAGCTGCTGGTCGGTGGATTTTGTTACAGTCTGTCATGGTTTTTGAGGGTTTTGTTGCAGTTTTGGTTTGTGTTTTGTAAGATCGCATCCTGTGTGTTTCTGAGTGTGTGTCTGTCTATGTGAGATTCTGTGTTTTACTTTTTAGTTCCTTTCTGTTTTATTGTGAAGCTATTTGCTGTGTGCGTCTCTGGTGTTTTTTTGTTTATCTGCTCCATCCTCATTAGTTTCACCTGTGTCTTGTTTCCCAACCAGTTCTGGGTGTACATGTAGTCCTGTGTCTTCCCATGTCAGTTGTCAGTTTGTTTGTGTTCTTTGGCTTTTCACCCCTCCAGTGCCTGTGTTCTTTCTCCGTAAGCTTTCTCATGCTCTGTCTCCATTTTGCTTTTTTGTTTCTCTCAGTCTTTAATTACCTTCTTTGATTTATATTTGTTTTTCCCTATTCCCCATGTTTTTTGTTTTTTTTTCTTTTTACTTAACTGTTTTATGTAGCTTTCCAGCCTCTTTTGTGTGTTGCCCTGCTGACCTTTATCTGTTTTCTTCACCGAGCCGGTAGCTTCATATTAAACGACTGTCGGCAAAAACAAACATGTATGAATGAATAAACATATTTCTGAAAATGTCATCTTTTTCTTTTAAGGTTTGCATGAGCTGTCGTGGTGTGAACACAGTTGGAAAACTCCAGAGATTGTGTAATTTGTCAAACCGAGTATTTGACGTGCTTTGATTGCTGCGCCACGTCTTCACTCCCTCCTCCTCATTCCTTGCTTTCAGGGTTGCTGGAGGAAGATAACAGTAGATGATTTCATGCCATTTGATGAAGACAATAACCTGCTTCTCCCTGCCTCCACCTGTCAGTCAGAGCTGTGGCCAATGCTGTTGGCTAAAGCTCTAATTAAAGTGGCCAACACAGAGTGAGTTACTACGCATTCCAACAACACAATCTCTTTGAGCATTTTAGTACTACCCCAAGGAGCTGGAACAGCTACAGTCCTAATGTGCATCTGCTTTAGAACAGATTCAACGTTATTCCAAGTAGATTAAATAGCAGCTTAATGTTCTGTAAAACAACAACACACAGTATGCACATTAATTCTTTATACTCACCCTGCTCAAGTAAAACAGTATACAGGTAAGCACATACAGTGATTTAGCATTAATATGCAGTGCCATCGCATCTGCATGGAGAGAAGTGAAGGCAGGCTATTAAATATACTTATTGAGAATGGTTTACCCTTATCTCATTAAGGACATTAATGGAATCTGCAAAACTTCATTTTAAAATCTAGTTAAAATCACAGAACTATGAGGAAATATTTGCTAATTTTTTTTTTTAGAGTGCGAGTTTATCTGTAACCATACTGTATGTAGTAAATGCTTTAGACTAGGGGCGCCCAATCCTGGTCCTTGAGAGCCCCTATCCAGCATGTTTTAGATGTTTCCCCCTTCCAACACACCTGATTCAAATGATCAGCTCATCATCAAGCTCTGCAGAAGCCTGATAACGATCCTGATCATGTGAATCAGGTGTGTTGGAAACATCTAAAACATGCAGGATAAGGGGCTCTCGAGGACCAGGATTGGGCACCCCTGCTTTAGACAATCTCAAAGCTGGGGTTCAATAAGTTATTTCACGATCAAGCATATTTGTGCAAAGTAAGAGTACTAAACAATTTAAAGCTCACACACGTGTGCAGGAAGCCCCACAGGGGGGCCTTTAGCTGACTTGACCAAACCTTCACCCGAGCTAATCTGTGTTGAGTTTGGTGCCAGACAGTGTTGATGTCTGTGATGGGGCAACATGGCGTGTGTAAAGGTGGCTGTTCCAGTGTCCACAGAAGGTCGAGGCATAAATGTTTCATCCAGGACAGGAAACAAAAGAGTCTCTCTCCTGGTGAATCATTTATAAGTCATAGTGAAAGTTCTTCGTACTGAACTAGAACCAAACTTTGCGCAGGTATCTGCTGGGGCTTTCTGAGGAAAAAAAAACAAAAAACTAGAGGGCTCTTTTCATTTTGGTGCTAAGCAGCGTTTTTGTAGTGATTATGAACTGAGGCATTACTGGTGAAGTTGTGTTGACGTCACTTCTTTGAGCATGACTGTGGACTGGACAGGTTGGCCACAGGATCCCAAGAGGTTCGATTTGAGCAGCGGCAGACATCTGTTTTGAGTGAAAGTTTCTTAAAATAATTTATAGAGCATGATTAGGTTTTCTGCATAATGCAAACTTCAAAATGTAGAAGGTAAGTAGAGTCTGCGTTCTTGACAAAAATCCAATGCAGGTGACCTCTATCATGTTGTCACGGTGCATCATGATTTCACTATATTCTTCTTCCCCAGTATATATATTTGCCACAAACACACATTTTTATGACACATCAATGTTGACGGAGGATAAAATACCTCTGCTGTCTTCTGTAGTTCCTGATGTTAATATAAAGACAGCAAACAAACTGCTTTTGAAAAGAGAAGGTGACATGCATGAAGTAATGACCTCACAAGTGTCTTTGAGAAAGATGCCACCAGTGTAGCTATTGGTGAGTGGTGCCTCTGGTTTGTTACACTTTTGCCTACATTTTTTTTTGTTTGTTTTCTCAGGCTAGTGTCAGAAGTTTGCGACGAGATAGGCGAGTTCAGCGTTATTCACGCGCTCACCAGCTGGATCCCAGAGATCAGTACAATTAGGTAAGATTCCCACTGATTGACTCCACTCTTCAATCTCCATTAAGCTCTGTGTTTGATATGTTGTGTCTGTTATAGGCATTTGTCTTAAATGCGTCATGTTCTCCCTTTGCTTTTCATTTTGTCCTCTCTAAAATACACAGTAAGAATCAAACAGACCGTCTAACATCTGGTCATTTTACTTCAAGGCCGTGCAACGCAGTGCACTCACAGTGTCGCAAAACCATGCAGAGAATCGTGGCTGTGTTGAAAGCTGCTCTTTGGGAAGAAGATGTGTGGAGTTTTAAGATTGGAGCAAGGAAATATACTGAGAGAGTACACGTTTCAGTGTAAAGCGAGGAGTCTCAGCTTGCCAGTGATGGAACTTTAATGGGGCAGCAGTGTTTTGCAGTGGAGATGGGGAGTGTTGTTGTCTCTAGCTCAGCAGGTTGGCTGTTTTTAAGTTGGTCGCCTGGGGAATCTATCAAGACGTACAGGCATTACGCATGACTGTGTTTGTGTTTCAGATTGATTCACAACACACGGATTTACAGTCATCTGTTTTGTAGCCACAAAAACCCACACACACACACACATATTATCTTATCCGATTCACTATCTACCGTCTAGTTTATAGATGCTTTTTTTGTTTTGTTTTTGGTTGTGCCAGTGTGATATTTGTCGCTAATGGCAGCTGGTTGGCATCATGAAAATAAAATGTGGATTATTCAGGCTGACACTTAGAATCATTATATATTTTTTGTCAGTATTATTGTTAAAAGCCACTGCTGCCACTATCCACACCTAGTAAACAAACAAAATGGAGGAACATGTTAGACGGTGGGATTTTGGTGAGCTTTTGGAGGTTTACCTGTAAACAGCTGATTGCAGAAAAAAGGCAGCAGTGGGACGTTTTGAAAATAATCACAGTTCGTTGGGATATTACAGTGATGGGATCAGAATGAAAATCAGCAACGAAACCCTCAAAAGTAAAAAAAAAAACAAAAAAAACAGCCTCAGGATGCACTCTTTGAATTTTAAATGATCATGATTGGATGACTGAGCAAAGACAGATGTTTTTTGTGTGAATGACTTCTTCAGAATCAAAAAGATGCCATTCAAATCTAAAAACACTTGCTAATCACATGTAAAGATAATCCTCACTGTTTCTGGTTCATTAAACTAGCTCAGTGTTACTGCTGCTTTTTCTCACATTGTCAATCAGACTGAGCCAAAATGAGCCATAAATCCCACCAAGTAAGGAACCAGCCAGGCAAAGCAAGGAACCAACTGCTAGATACTGTTTTTGCTCCGCCTTCATACGTCACTGGGTTTGGAATTGCCAAATCAGTGCATCCTAAATTACTTCCTTCTTATTTGAACAAGCAAACATCTGATCCTCTTTGACTCTGTGCCTACAGATAAAAGTGTGAGGACTGCTGAGTTGTATCATTAAATCAACTAAAATATCAGTAGATGTAATGTTAATCTGTGGCCTCTGAGGATAATTTTGTCGCTTCTAGCAGAGATAACTTCTTGTCAGCACTTTGCATAATTGTCCAACAGTCTCTGAAAGCCACTTTCTGAACTCTCAATGGCAGGAGAAATATTGGAGGGTTTCTGTGTACCGCCTGTTTCAAATCCCCCCCAAGTGCGCCTGTGGCTCAGGTGGTAGAGCGGGTCGGTCAATGATTGGAAGGTCGACGGTTCGATTCCGTCCGGTAACCTCTGTCATGGTCGTTGTGTCCTTGGGCACCTCACCTCCTTGCCTGGTGTGAATGAGGTGGTGAGGTGGTGGTCGGAGGGCAGAATGGCAGCCGGGCCCCAGTCTGCCTGCAGCTACCAATGTGTGAATGAACATCTGACAGTGTAAAGTGTCTTCGAGTGTCTAGAAAAGCGCTGTATAAATCTGATCGATTATGTTGGAAAAGTCAGTGATTTCCATAGGATGTGTTGTCGCCTATTGTACTGCAAACCGAGGGACAGAACAGGAGCAGAAACTGCAGTAAACCCAGATTGAACACAAATGGACTTCAGTGTGTAAGCTAAAAATATAGACACAAATACCTGACATCAGCGCATCATGACATGACATCAGCGCACGTCTGCATGTGTACAAGCGGAATTCTTGTTCTGGAGAAGTTCCAGACAAAACCCTCTTAAAGATGCAAATCAGTTGCAAGCTGAAAAAAAGCTTAAACAATAAAGCTGTAGACTGGAAAAAAAAAATCATGTTCTTTCCCCCCCTCCTCTCAGGCCAATGTACACGAAAAGAATCTGGGATTTCTTACACGGCACCATTCCTGAGTTTACACACCTGGATGAGAGTTTGCCTGAGACGACGCCTGAGACTGCAGATCCAGCTACTGGGAGAGATTCCACCCTACGGGACGACGGGAATCAGCTGCCGGAGATAGAGAAAAGTAAGATCCAAACTGTACCAAACACACACACACACACACACAGATGCACAGTCACAGAAAGACACCCAATTATGTATACATGCTGACATACATCTCAATTACACACTCTGCTTGCATGTTTAATCGAGTAAGTCAATTGAATCAATCATCCATTACTGTGATCATTTCCATGCACAGAGTACTTTTGCCCCTCAGATAATTAATTCGTCAGCAGTTAGGATTATATTTATGTGTTGTGTGTCTGTATCTGTGTAAATATATTATGTATTTATAGATGGATAGACAGGTAGATGTAGCTACAGATAGGTATATAGGGTTAGATAATAGATGTCGATATAGAGATAAAGATATAGATACAACTAGAAAGAGATAAGTGTCTTTATCTATGTTTAGATAGCAATTTATATTTAGAATTTACTCTCTCTGCATCAATAATTCAAGTAAGGAGCACAGCAATGAATATTTCATCAACAGAAACTCACAATTATCAGTGATTCCATTCTCTTACGCTGCAGAAACAACCCTTCCAACAACGACAGTCTGGGAATTTATTTCAGGACAAGACAGTCTCTACTCCTCAGGTCACAGCTGGGCCATACTGCAAAATACCAACATTTTTTGTTCCATGTGGTCGGTCAGACAGTTACCTGCTGCCTCTTTCCTGTTACTTCAAGCATCACTTCCTGTTTTCCTCAGCTCATGTATTATGGAGTGCAGTGACGGTTAATGCGTGTAGGGTGGAACCATAAATAAACCAGCAGAGGGAGCAGTAAAAGGGTGAATTATTTGGTCTTCCCGCAGGGCAGAAGAGCCTCCAGAGTCAAGTGTGGTTATCTGATGAAGATCGGATTGAAACATGTCCTCAGAAAAGAGTGTGCGGCTTGGAGTTGTTTCAGGTCATAGTAGTAGCACAGACAAAGGCTTTTTTTTTAAAGGCTTTACAATAAAGTTTAAAAGGAATTTGTAATTTAAATGCATTTTTCAATCAGCTTTAGCATGATAACCATGTTGGACATTATGATGCTGTGTTCCACAAACCAAGTTTTAGAGACATAAGTTTGGCTTCAGGGTGACGTGGCAAGAAAAAGGACTTCAAAACTCTTCTGTATTATAGTTATTCAAAGTAATATATAATAAAAATACAGTGGGATGTTTTGTCATTTTGGACATCCATATGTATGAAAAATGTTTCTCTCTCTTGCTCTCACATTGACCCATCTGCTCTTTCTGAGAGTAAACTGTCCCTCACACGTTTCTACACTCCCGCTTGTTTGCAATAATCCGAGTGTCAGATTTTAGCGTAATGTGATGACATGCATGCGGTAGTACTTCACAGGCCGTTTCTGCTTTCGTGAAATGCACTACATGGCGCTTTCATCACACACATGCAAAAAAGATCTACACATTCCTTCTCTCTCACTGTTTTGGTGCTCACTGTTCTATCCCATTGAAATGCATAAATCACTATGCAGTGTGAGAACCACTTCCCTCTTCAATTTTTAATGTGTAGCCTTTATATTAGCCTAGCAGCTCTCCCGTCTCTTCACCACGGCCCTTCAAATTGATTTTCCATGTCTCCTGGCCCATGTGCTTTTATATGATATACTCTAAGATGCACTATAGAGGAAAGCAGCGCTGCATATCCTAGATATAGCCTTGTTTTTTTATTTATACCAGTGTAGGTCAGTGTTTTTTTCCCCACATTTCCAGGGTTAAATTTTAGATTGATTTGAAAGCTTAACTAACTTTTAGTATGTCTGTAGAGTTATTCTACTAAGAGTCTACTAATCTGAGTCTCTCAGTAAAATCAGTCATGCTGTGATAATATGCAGTGTTGCGATGTGTGCGCTTATATGTGTTTGCACATATCTATTGTGTTTGCTTGTACTTATGTTGTTCTTTTTTGTGTGTTTTCAGGTGGCCCTGAGGTCGTGGTGTGTGCCAGCTACTACCCTTTTCAACTACGGAACTACTACTTGCGGTTTGGCCTCATTGTATGTCTTATCACTCCTCACTTGATGGCTGCATAGACACACAGCTGACCGAGTTTTACACTTCAGCCATACACATTTACATCCATGAAATTTATATTTCACCTGCTGTGGACTGCAGTCAGATGTTCAATGCAGATTTGAAAGCAGAACAAATTCACATTCTGATGCAAATACCACATTGTGTGATTGCAATATGGCCAGAATCCTTTATGAATAATTCATGCATCAATGACCTAAGCGGTGGAAATGTAGAAAAATGCAGTTGAACTCGTGTATGATCCTGGTTTCTTTTTGAACGTATTGTGTTTTTAAAATGTCTCCTGCCATAGTCACCTCTGTTATATAGCGCAAGAATGTTAAAATGCACTCAAACACTGTAGCAGTGGGTGGTGGAGATAAAACATTGTTTGATTGTGATCTTTTGCCATGCTGTGGTCTATTATTCATTTTTTTTTTCTCGCTTTGTTTTGTTTTAGACTAATCGGAGAACAGTTTTCAGGATTGTCCTCTCAATCACTTGTATGATTTTGGATCAGAATCCCCTCCTCACTCTTTGACTTCACCTGTTTTTTAAAATTTTTTTAGAGCTCATATGTGACTACTGCATGTGTGTTTATTTCTCTGGATTTGTCTGTATGCTGTCATGCTGTCATGCAGACTAATTCCTCAGAATGCCTTCGTCGCCACGGCCTCATCTCGCTGCACAACCATATTGTCCTGTTGACTAGGACTCGCGCGTGCCAGCTGGAGGCACCACCCAAACCTCCACCTGTGCCCCAATGGAAAGTCATCCGTCAGCGCGAGGAGATTGTGGTCACTGCTGAACCGAAGAGTGAGTGAAAGACAGAGGAGGAAGTGGAAAATCAAAAATGTTAAAATTAAAAAATAAAGAGAGAGAGATGGTAAAGGGAAACCAGGAGGAGGATGCAGGGGAGGATATCAAACAAATAAAAAAGCACAAATTATGTGATAGCGTGTAGGTGAATGTCATAAATAAATATGACTAGAACGAAAAGTGAGTGTTAATGGTGGAGATTTGGAACATACAGTACAGAGGGCATACAGTACCGCATGCTGAAAAGGAAAATAGGAGGAGGGCAGCTACAATATTTCAGTTTTCAAAATAGCTGCTGGCTCAGGCATATCTGACATCAGCTGATCTCTGAGTGAAAAACAGAAAATGCAGTAAAAATTCAGTGTGATAAAACAGTGCTGGCATGATGTGTAGAGGATTTTTTCATCTTCGTCTTCTCTCTCCTTTCGCAGAGATTCCTTTGTCGAAACCAGAGCAGTTCATTGAGGTTGCCAGCCCTTTTCTCTCCGACCGTGTCAAGAGCAGCGGTGGCGCACTCCCAGAGCTGTGCGTACACTGAAATGATCTAAAACCGAGAAACTAAATGAGATTATTTTTTCTGTACTTCTGTTCCTCTGCTCTGCAACGAGTCTTCTGGTCCTCTAACATGCACCCTGACCGCCCTGAGGAGGAAAGAACAGGTTCCACGTGGGGATCAATACAGTACATGGTCGCTATCGTCATTTTTTGGCACGTACTTACTGTTCCAGCATCACTTTTTCCTTTTTTTTTTTTTCAGTGCAACAAAGCAATTATATATATATATATAATTCTACAATTTTTTTGGTTTCGTTTGTCCAAGGCCACAGAGTATTAAAGAATAAAGACTTGCTCCAACCTAGCTGCTTTCACAGTGACTAAAAGAAATGTTTTCATATATGCTTAAGCTTAGGAGCAAAAAAACTAAATCAGATTAAAGCAGTTTATTGCTGGTGTGCTGTTACATGATGTTGGTAATGTGGCGTGTCTGACTCATTTGTAGACGATATGGTGTATTTGTACAAAAATTACTACCATGAAATAAGATGCGTGTGTGTCATGATTGGACACGTTGCATGTCCTGCATCTGCACATAACATAATGTATTGCATTAACGTGTCTTTCAGCGTGGGAAAGGCCAAGCAGGACGCTTCAGGGAAGTGTTCCTATGGATCCCCTCTGGTGTCCATTACTGAGGAAGGGGAGGCTGAATGTCGAGGAGGCCCTGAGCCTGATGCAGCTGAACGCACTGCTAGCTCACCAAACAGCGCTGATAAAATACAGGTACGTATAACTGCTCAGGCGTGGCATTTATTTGCTCGTTTGGCATGTGTGGATTTAGCATTTCACAGATAATTGTTTACAGAAAACCATTGTTTCATATAGAAATTGCTGTCAGTAGCTTTGAGAGTCTTTGAAACCTTGTGTAATGCTATTTGTCAAAAACAACAAAGATAGTAGCAGCTGTCTCCAAAATGTGGCTGCCTCTTGTTACTTCCTCCCTTCCTTGCTTCCTCCCTGCTTCCTCACCCCTCTGTTTACCCTGTAAATATGCAGTTGAAGGCTCAACAGAGTAACTCTGTGTGTCAGTGGCAACAAGGCTGCCATCCCCCAGTCTCAAAGTCACTTCTGTTGTCTCCCAGCCAGGCCACTACTGACCAGGGGCACATCTGCACTAAAGAGAGAACCAGCAAGGAAAGGGAAATAAACAGGGGGTGGGCTTCAGAGCAGCAGCATGGGAGAGACACAGAGACGGGGACAGAAGCAAAAGATTGCGAGGAATAAACAGGGCGGACAACTGCGCGGTACAATAAAAGAAGGGAAGGAGAGTGACAGCTGGACAGGGAGGGATGAAAGCGTAGCAAGAAACAGAGGGAGATGGAAAAAGACAATCTCTGGTGTGTGGTGGTAGTGAACGGGGCGCGAGGGTTTCGTACAGGGAGAGGTCGTGTACTGTGCTGATGAAAAAAGCAGTGCAATTAGATGGTGAGCCATCAGTGTCTGCGTCTCCTGGGGGCTTCATTATTACACTTCACTCCTAGCATAGAGAGAAAAAATAGAGTTCATATTAATCGCCCTCTTGTGTAACTGTGACCAGTTATAGAGCAGTTAGGTTAGGGCAGTGTGGACATGCTAATTTGATGTGTCGTTTGATGTGTGCGCACGCAGGCCCTTGTGCACATCGGTTTGTGTATGCGTCATGTGTGCCACATTTATACTGGGTGTGTGTTCCCGCTATTCACAAGCACATGGCAGGTCACGTGCTGAAGTTTTTTTGTGTTTTTTTTCTTTCTGTTTTGATCCCTCCCTCTATTTCTATCGACCCTGGCCGACAGAATCAACCTCTGTGCCTAGCTCCCAGGATAGAAGAAGGTGCTGTCACATGATGTTCCTAATACCCTCAGTGGTCTACTCACTCAACTGTAGCATGACTTAAAGCATTAGATCCTCGGTGTAAGCATGCCGTTTTAACTTTAATATGTTTGGAATGTGGGTAATCACCAAAGCGCCGCTACAGTTGAAGTTTAGCGCCATAGTTTCAGTTCTCGAGGGGAGAAAATCATCAGGGTAAAAAAATGTGAAATGTGGAGAGAATCCCTTTGAGAGCAAAGACTCTAATCTGTCTGTGTAGAATAACGCCTCATAGAGTGCAGGTTTTTCCAGCCATCAACCTGTGGCTGCGGTTTGATCGCAGAAGAAGATCGCCCTCTCCTCCGAAAGCAGCGGCTAAAAATCCCAGGAGCCTTTTGTGTAAAATCTGTCCATCTCAGTGTCCCCTTTCTGTGCACGTATGAGACAAGCAGTCTAATAAAATGGTATGCTGTGGGTGGACACGACATACCATGCCTTGGAGCTCGACTCAAAGTTTTATGCACTCTTGGTAACACACACACACACACACACACACACACACTCACTCACAAGCACGTACGCATTGACATTTTTGTTGCAGGAAGGTGTTGCTATAGTGGTGGAGAGGAGGTCAAGTGTGCCTCCCAATCACAATGCCTCTTTCCGTCTGTCTGGGTCTCTGGGTACTTATTCACACAAGTGGTGACTCACACACGAAGACACACACGAAGACACACACACACGCACACACACACACACACACACCACAGTCTGATTCATCGGAGTGTCTTGGCAGGGGTTGCTTTGAAGTTACACGACACAGAGACATAATTCTTATTCAGAGCTGAGTTAACTATTGGACATTCACTCAGATTTCCCCTCGAGGAAGCATTGTTTGAGGAAAAAAAGATGAAGGGGCCCTGAGGAAAGTTCAGCTATGCTATGTGACACAGGTGTGCCACTCCTCGCCCTTAGCCCTGAACAGCCTTTTCCACACCACACCATCTCCTGTCTTGCTCATACAGAAGTATATTGCATTTATTTGAAGGATATGCTAATTACTCATTAGCTATATTTCTGTATTGTGCCGGGCAGACGAGTGTGAAATCAGAGCTGTTGAGTAATTCCCTTCTAAGAGAAGTAACCTGCTAAACAACATAATAACTCCTCATCTATCACTGACAGTTGAAGTAAATTAGAGCTGGTATTCCCTGGTGGTGTTTTTTAGCAGGGGAGGAGCAGCCCTTGTCACATTAAACTGTGTCTCTCGGTGTTGGGCGAGAATGGCGCAACACCACAGCTGCCATGGAATCACTAGAGGGTGGAGGCGCATCTCTGATGGTGTTACTCTGTCAGCAACTCAGTTCATGCCTCCCTCACTCGCTCTTTTTTTTTTTTCTCTTTCTGTCTCGTGGTCCCTTTAGGTTACTGCAGAGGACAAGAAGAAGGACGATGATGACATCTCCAATGGTAAAAGCTGTTTCTTTGCAATGCAAGGCCCTTAATTCATGTTGCAAAAAAATCTGCACCGTCTCTGCGCAAAAGATCCAGTATAGACCACCAGAATGAGTAGATGCTCATTAATTCTGTTTTATTGGAAATGACAAATGTAGTGAAGGTCTTCATAATTGGTTGACTTGAACAGCATCTGTGCAGCATAGCCCAATTAATGTGATTAGAAGTATTTGCATCTCTTGCCTCCGCTCCCCTCTATCTTTCTCTCCATGCCTCCTTGGGTTGGGCAAGACACTTCGAAGAAGATAGGACTGAAATTATGCCTTGTGACAACCGGCCAGTTCCCTGCCTTCTCTCTTTTCCGTTTAGTTGCTTAGTAACACCTGCAGTTTGAGTTAGCAGACCACCATTGCTCAGCAGCAGAGACACTGGCCCTCGCCGCCTCAACTTTCTGATCAGACTCTCGCTTTAAGTAGAGCTCGGGGGCAGACTGTATGTGTGAGTGTGTGTGCATGTGTGCGTGTGTGTGTGTGGTTTTTTTTTGAGGGGTGGAGAGTGTGTCTGTGCGCATATGTCTATGACTTTGCACTGCATGTATTGAGATAGTGGGAGTTTGTGAGTGGGAGTATGGATGTGCATGTGTGCTTACACTATGCCATTATGTGGGAGTTTGGCCAATTCGACTCACTGTGTTTAAGATAATGATTTGAGTCTATGATAACTTGCTATGAGTCAGAGGAGGAAAAGGATTTTGTTACTCACAGCATTTTGAAATGGAAGATTTCACAGGCAGTACCATACCCACTTGGCAATAAGTATGGCATGACAAGCAGTCGGCTTGGATGATGCTCAGCGTGAAAAGGACATGTTTTTCCTTTATAAAGATGCTGCCAATTTGTATTAGCAATAATGAATGGTAATAAACAAAGTACTTTGCTTTGTAATCCATCTATCAGCTAGGTGGTTGCATACTCTGTAACTGCTACCTTGCACCACATATCCAACCTGAGAAAAATGTTTAGAAATCCATTACTAATCGTAATTGGCGTCCCCCTAAATGGAATTTAAACCTTCCTTCCAGATATGCCCCAAACTGCAATTGCAGTGCGTGTAGCTGAGGAATCCTCCGCTGTTGTCAGTCCCATCCTACAGAAGACCTGGGTGGACCTGGATGACTTTGCTAAATGCTTTCAGTAAGACACACATGCACATGTCGACACAGATATACTCCTGTGCCCTGCAAACATACTGTACCAATTGAAAATCATGGACAGCCGTGAAAAAAGGATGGTTGAGCAGCCGAAAACATTATGTGATTAAGTTTGTCATTGCTTAAGCTCACAAATAACTGTCATCCATTTGGTTTTTTTGGGTTTTTTTTCCCAGGTTACTCTGGGTGTTTCATAAGCCACAGGTCTATCCGCATCATATCCAGAAATCATATTTTAAGGTACAGAATGTATCACGACATGACAGTTTCAGATTACTTTCCCACATAATGTTGTGTTTGTGCTTTGACACATAAATGGTAATTGTATTGGATACATCACAAATCACTGAACTGTTGTCTGCAGAGCACCATCTTGCCTGAAACTACAGGAGGAGTAAACTGCGCTGGATCACCTACCTCCGGATCCCTTGCTGTAGCAAGCCCTGAAGTACACATGCAAACACACAGAAACACATGTGCACACTAAGAGTTGCAAAATAACGTGTATTTTCTGCATTATCTAAGTCTGTACATGTAACCATCTACCCAATGAATAATGAGCAGTATGAGAGCAAATCTGTACCTATACAGTGCCTAAAACTAACATAACATAGTATCTCACAAAGCAAATAAAATACTATGCTGCCCCTTCGTCAACCTCAAATTTAGGGATGGTTGCCACTTGTTCATCCCACCTCAGCTCCAGGATTCCTCTCAGATCCATCCCTTTTCCTAAATGGGATTCAGCTAAATAGGAAACTACCAAACTCAGTTCCAGGCTTCGTCCTTTTAGACACCTGTGGGCCATGTCACAGATTCTACTTTCATCATATCCTGTTTACAGTCTGTGCTACTGTGAAGGCAACACTCTATTGTAGAGTACAAGAAAAGACAACAGAGAAATTCACAATTGACTTGACAAACAGTCTTTAAACAATGTTGGAGCCGTTTATGTCATCTCATGCTCTTCATCAGCAAATGGAGCATCCTTAGATAGATGAATAAAACGGTGGAGGATATGACTCCTCCTAATTTTTACCCGACTCCACAATGACAAAGCAAGGTTTTTGGAGTGTTTTGTTATTTTAATAAAACTAAGATACTGAAATATTCCAATTACATAATTTCTCATAACCTTCGTTATGTCACTTGCAATTGAGATCAGTTGTCCTTGAGATGCCTCTACAGCTTTACTGGAGTCAACCTTTGTCTAACTGAATTCATTGAACACAGTTAGGAAAGGCACAGGCTGGGCTATGTACGGTCTCACAGTTGGTGTATGTCAGAATAAAAAGTAAGCCATGAGGTTGAGCCAGGATTGTGTCAAGGCACGGATCTAGTGAAGTATACAAAAATGTTTCTGCAGCATTACAAGTGCCCAAGAGCACGGTGGCCTGCATCATTCTCAAATAGAAGAAGTCTGGATCAGTCTTTTTAGAACAGGTTCCCCCTCCAAATTGAATATTGAGATCCAAAGCTCCTTTATGTAGATGGTAGAACCTTACAGAAAGACAATCATCAGTGCCTTTATGATAGACTGATCAGATGGAAGCTGTTCCTCACTAAAAGGTACATGACAGCCCACTTTGAGTTCGCAAAAAAGACACCTAACAATGAGACAGACAATGAGAAGCAAAATCCTGCAGTCTGATGATTAAACTATTTGGCCACAGTTCCCAGTGTGGAGCAAACTAGGCGCTGAGCATCACTGCAGTAACACCATCCCTACAGTCAAACACGGGGGTGGCAGCATCATGCTCTGGAGATATTTTTCTTTCATTTTTTTCTTCTGCTGTTGCTACCAAAGGTTCTTTATGTAAATTACAATGTTATGGATCTGGATATTTGACCACATTAGATATACCAGTGTTAAAGTTGAATACATTTCCAAATGTAAAAACTATGTCTGCTTTGTCATGGTGGGGTATTGTTGGTCAAAGAACAAAACAAATGGAATCCATTGTATGATTAATCTAAGCTTTCTGAGTGCAGTGTATTTAATGATAAGAAGCTTTGCAAAGCTATACTAATGATGAGGATTTTTTTTTTCTTTAATTTAACCATGACCCCCTTCCCTGAGGCCAAAGCAGCAGAAATAGAGCTACATTTGAAGCCTTGATTAAAGCAATTCTTGTGCTAGATGCCCGTCTTTAGAAACCAAAAAATCTGTACAATTGTAACTGTAAAGTCCTGTTTAGTTTTTCGTGCCTATGTGGGGTTGTGTTTGCATGTCTGTATGTAAAAAGCGCTGAATTCTGCTTTTCTGTCTGGACAGGTATGAATTCTCATCCTCTTGTTCTCTGTCTGTCTTCCCCTCACCCACTGCTTTTTGTCATATTACAAAACTCACCGTCTTAGTCCCCGTTAATGAGCTGCCAGCTCAAATGCTCCTTCAGCTCGCTTTGCTCATATCTATCTGTTCTTATTCTTTCCCTTACCCCCTCCACTCCAGTCTTGCCTTCCCTCCTCTGTGTTTTCTCCCATCTTCTCCTCCACTAAGCCACCCTTCTATCAGTGTGTCCATCATCCCTCCCCCTGGCTTTGTGTCTCTCTCTCTGTCGCGTGTTCACTTTCCTTCATACGGTTAACTAACGGCAGCGTGTTTTTGTCTGTTTCTTTCCAGTGTCTAGAGGTCAGAGATTGTTACTACCTGTATGTGGACAGTCTGCAGCCTTCACAGATCCTCATCAGCTTCACAGTGCTTCTCCTCTGGGGAGATACAGCCAAGGAGAGTAAGAACTTACACAAACGCAAGGATTTTCTGGTGTGCAAGTGATAGAAGAAGCACTTGTAACTCTCCATGGCATGATTATTATTAAGATTTTGACTTATTGTGATATTTGACTGCAGTGTAAAACCAGTATGTATTTCCTCCACTCGACAACACCTCATAGAAAAGGACATGTCAGCGGCACAAAGGCTTGCCGGCCTCTCCGCCCTGCCGTACTGCTGGACAAGTGTGCGTTCTGAGCTGCCAGTTCTCACCATCAAGACCACCTCCTCAATGGCAGCTGTGCTTAGCTTACCCCCGGGGTAGGTCAGCACTGATGATTATTGAGAATTGTAGCCGATATTGGTCAAAATGAAAAGGTTGGATCATGTTTGTAAGCATTACAACAGTATGACATTGTGTGCTATTTACCATATTCGATTTGATTTGATAGCACTTGTGATTCTTGTTTCTATATAACATCCATCCATCCATCCCTCCATCCCTCCATCCCTCCATTATCGATACACACCTTAATCCTCACTAGGGTCATGGGGGGCTGGAGTCTATCCCAGCTGACTTAGAGCGAAGGCAGGGGACACTCTGGCCAGGTCATCAATCTATCACAGGGCTAGACTTAGAGACAGACAACCAAGCACACTCACATTCACACCTACAGACAATTTAGAATCATCAGTTAACCTCAACATGTGTCTGGACTGTGGGAGGAAGCCGGAGAACCCGGCTTGCAACCCTCTATATAACCAAAAATATTGAAATCTTGGTATTACCACGTAAGGCTAATTAAATATTACACTCCATACTAGAAGAGCCAAAAGCTTTGCATTCGTGACCGATCTAATCTCCTCAGAGATTTGCATGCTCATTACCCGTCTTGTGAAATTCATGTGGCAATTCTCTGGCGCAATTTTACGTCATTGAGTTTTGTACCCAAACGAAATCGTCCTATATCACGTCATTTTTTTTTTTACATTAACATTTACGCCTCATAACCCAAACTTACCCAAAGTGATGTACGATTTCCATCATTAGAACCTGTTCTAAAAATGTGTACATTTCCTGTACAGCCCCCTTGAGATCTTCTGCGTCAATCTATACAGAGATCTACTTAAAGCCATCATGGAGTGAGCAGAGGATATCTGCCTACCTCAGATGCTCTGAAAAGAAGTAAAAAGCATCTGTCCTAGTCTCTATTAATGGGTGCGACTTGGCCTAGAAGCAGAGGGCCTAGTTTCTGGGGTCAGGTGCAGGTATGCAGCAGTGCAATTACCACTGAGCCATAATCACACACATAGCACTCAAGTTACCATGCCCATTCGGCCCGTAGTATTCTCCTTTTTAGACAGAGTAACTGATACGTCCAGGCTTTTTGGGTAGAAATCCTTTCATAAAACGTTCACGCACTTTCTTTATCTATGTCCACCTACTGTATATGTGGAACACTATTTTGCACACGTGTTATTTTCTCGCGTCTCCACTGACACTGTTGTTTTTCCTGTGCTAATCTACTCACTTTTGCATTCACTCCTTTGTATTCTCTTTTCTCTCACTTTCTATACTTTTCTTCTCGCCGTCTTCTCTCCCATACGCCTCATCTCTCGCTCTCTCCCATTCGTTTCCCTTTTGTGTGCTTCGGCAGCACTAGCCCAGCTCCGCCTCAGTGCTCATCTATCTAGTTAGGCTGTGATGGCTGAATTATGTAAAGCAAATGGGGCCAAGGAAGTTGGGTTCTACACTCTCATGCCTGACCCGGCTCTGTGAACTCAGCTTGGCACTTGGCAGACAAGACATTAGGCTGCGGCACATCTGACTGTTGGACCCAGTCAGCATTACTTGACAGAGATATAGTAGTTCTACTATTAAGACAGTAGAGGGATTTTATTCAGCGTAATGTGGACTGTTTAATGCATTTTCCGCTTCACTGTGTCTTTACTATTACCAACCACAGTGGAGACCCAGGGTTGCAGGATATCTCTGTGCTCTTTACAGTTTGTTCCTTATCGTTTCAGCAGCCTAATAGTCAGACATTAATGTTCTCAGCACGCACACTGGACACTAATTTGGCTGTCTTGTGACTGTCTTTAAAGCAGTTGATCCGAATGAGATACAAGATAAATCTGAGGGGTCATTTCAGCATTGCTTCAACACAAATAGTCTTTTTATTTCTCATCTTTCTGTACTTTGCTTGTGTTTTTCTAGGCAGCAACACTCTTTGGTTGAAGTGGTGGCAGCGTACCCGACCTGCCATGTACAAGTTTAGCCTCTTGTTGAGGATCACAAGCCAAAAGGGCCGTGAACCGCAGTTTTAGAATAATTAATAGCGTGCAGCAAACCTAGATTATGTGTGCTTGTCTTCAAAATGCAATTTGTCCTCTCTTTGCCCCTCAGGCGCCATGTGCTACGCGTCCACACAAGCGCACCGCTGGGCTACCATGTCCACCTGTGCAGCAAGACACCGTTCATCTTTGGGGATGAAGAGACCGTCATGTCACACCTCGGAAACAAGGTGAACGAAGCCTGTTGACAATGATAGCAATACAAACAGACTCTACACCCTGTGTGAATTTGAGTCGTCATTTATTGATTTTTTTTTAGAAAGATGAACAGCAGTTTTTCCATTTTATACTTATGTGAATACGGTCCACCACAGCGAAAGTAATGTAAAGGAAAAACTGTGTAGCTTGTGTCTTTCCCGTTGGTCTACAGACCAGTCGATATCCCTCCTTTCATGATATCATACTGCAGCCATTCTCTGCCACCTGCTGACTCTCCTCTTTTAACAGGACAGTGCTCGTTTCACTGAGCAGGCGTCGTCCATCTTTAGGGCCCTGTGCAGACTAGTGACTTCCTTTGGTGATGAGCAGGAGCAGGCAGCGCTTAGAAAGAGCCTGGAAGAGGCTCACTGTCCCCAAAACATCAGCACCGCCCTGGAAAAATGGGAACACTACAAGGTAGCTCGCTCATAGCAATATACAGTTAGACCAGCGGTTCTCAAACTTTTTGAGCCACGACCCCCAAGATAACATAAGTTTGTGTTCGTGAGCCCACAATATGAATTTTTAATATATCACAAGTAATGACTTTGTTGTTTATGCATTAAAGCGTTAAAATTAATGTGTTAACTCCACAGATTGATCTCTTTACATGAACCTTGTTTTGAATGAATGAATGAATTGAATTTATTTCAAACAAAAAAAAGAGAAAACAATTTTAAAAAGAGCAAAAAAGAATAATAATAATATTGCATAATCAAATCATAATATTAACAAGTTCGATAAAGGAGTGGGAAGAAGTGTACACTTTTAATTTTGACAGCCCTGATACACATTTATTTGATAAAAGTAGGCTTTATTTTTTTTTTTTACAATGATCTGGCGACCCCCTGAAATTATCTTGGGACCCCCATGGGGGTCCCGACCCCCAGTTTGAGAACCACTGAGTTAGACTATAGTTGCAATGAATGCCTCATTCTAATTTCTAACATTGCAGGTGACTGACAGTTGCCAGAGCTGTGTGTCAAGAAATGTATGTTGCTCATATAAGGCCATGCATTTAGTTTTGTTTTGATAAATTGTGTTAAAATTCAGATCCGAGGTACGACTTAGCTTATTGTGCTGTTTTTTTTTAGCAGCAATGTTTAGCTATTGTACAAAAGTGGTAAAAGTGACTTTGTTTTCCAATAGCCATGATGTTATTATTGTCTGATAACTGCATGGCTCCAATGCAGACTGTTCTACAACAGTCCTAAACCAGTGGACATGGTAGACAGCCTTTCTGTTACAAGACTGTGGCTTCTTTATCTTTAGGGAACAGTGAAGTTTAACAAAGACACAGAATGACACCTTAAATCTCATTTTAGCACACTACTTTTTACATGTATGTTATACATTCATACACATCCATGCAAATATGTAAAGGTCATGACTAATGTGGATCCTAACAGCAACAGGAAAGACTGTTGGTTCATAGAGGTCATGGATTATGTTTTATGTATACATGGACTGTCATGATCATATTTACAGTGTTGTTGTTTGTGCGTTGGGGTCTGCAGGTATTTAACTCAGCAGTTTACCACATGCTGTGTGAGGCTCTGGGCAGGAAGCTGACAGCAGACGAGCGATTGGCTGTACAGGCCCTCACCGCTGACCCCTCAGTCGCTGCCCATGACCCTAAAGAATACTCCCCTGCATGTAGGTGCCAATTTTTATATACAACATTTTTAAGTAAATACCTAAAACTTGGAATTTTATCAGTCAAGCTTTACATCGACTGTGCTGCATATTTATTCCACTTTAACAGTAAATAAAACTGCTAAAATATGTGGATTTAAGCGCCGCATGACACCTTCTAAACCAAAAGCCTGTTGACATCAAAGTAAAGCTGTACGGCTGTAAACTGAATTAATTCCAATACTTATCTCTGTTTTTTTTTAAACAGTGTGTTTCACTGAATCATATTTAATAGTTTTCATATTTTAATTTTCACCCACAACTTGCTTTTCTTTTTTTTTTTTTCTCCCTGCTGTCACTCTGCTGTTAAGTAGATGCAGATTTAAAGCCCCCAGAAATCTGGAGAGACAGGCAGCCAACAGACAAGGAGCTCAAGGCAGTCCCCGTTCTGCAGGCTGGATTCAAAGGGCAGTTGGAGCAAGAGGTCCTTAATGCCTCAAAACCTGGTAAACATGCACACACACACACAGAGAATGTATTCATTTTGGTAATTTTGATCAGTTTTTGGAAACACTGTATGTTATTAGACAGGGCTTTTAATTACTTTCTGTTTTAGTGTAGTATGAAAGAAGGACTGACACATCTGTAACAACTGCAGAAGGCCAGAAAGGCTTTAATCGAGTGAAAAACAAACACAAAACAAGAAGTGAAAAAAACACAGCCATTGTTTCATTTGTAGATTATTATTTAGAGTCCGAAAAACACCCAACACACAAGCAAACTGTCTTCTGCTTCTTGCATTCATTGTTTGATTTAGCCTGATGGCATATAGTGAGCCTCTGAGCAGAGGCACAAATATGTATTGATGAGACTGCCACTCTTACTAACACACCCTGACAGATGAAGGGTAGCTATAGAGGGGATACACATACACACACACACACACACACACGTGCTCACAACATTTCTGCATCAACAACAAAACCGTTCATTAGTGACAGCAAGAGAAAGATGAGGTAGAGAAGACGGGGAAACAGAGGAACACATCTACGAAAGACTGACACTAAACAGAAAGCAGAGCGGCTCTTTTTCTCTCTCAATATATTCAGCAATGTTTCTGTTCTGCTGTTTAGTTGCCAGTTTTTACATTTGTGGAGGTTGCCAGCCATTTAGAAATTTTTCTCAGCATTAGTTGAAGCATTTTTAATCTGGTTTTAGATGTGATGTAACGACAATTATTGTAAAGTGAAGCTTTCCCAGAGTTGATTGCTGAGCAAACACTGGAGGTGACATATTATCCTGACATTCTCTGTTTATTGCCAGGGCCAGAAACTAACTGCCGTCTCTTGGCACAACACGCTGTCATTCTCTGAAAAACTTGCAAATTTGGGCTCATGTTAATACAGAAAAATAAAAAAAGCACTGGACTCTAGCATCAGTGAGATTTTGCCTAATTTCTTATGGCTTGAAATTGTGGCTTAAGCATCCCAAACGTCCAAAATACTCACATCATTATGAAACCCATCCGCCAGCAGTGCTAAGAAGTATCGCTGGTGGTTACGCGGACATTACCGTGAGCACACAAACACACGCAGACAGGCTCAGCAGCTCGACTTCTATGAAATTGGCCTGTCACGGTTAAATTCGCTCAAATTTTATTCACTGACTAGTCAAAGCACAAAGTGTTGCTTTCAAAGTGACACTTAGAATAATGACAAAAGTCAAATGTGAGGAACAACAGCAGTCTAATACCTCTTTAAGAAGAAAGCTGAGAACTGGAATACTGGCATTTTAGATGATCAAAATCACCAGCATGCATGTTTTTGACACGAGCTACAACTCAGTGCTTACCCCCATCTCTCTCTTTTTCTTGTTGCTCTTTTACAATTTGTTTTCCTTCCACTCTTACCTGTTTGCCTCTTTGTGTATCTGTATGTGTTCTCCCCCTGGTTATAAAGATGATAGGTCTTCATCGCTCAATAGCCAGCCTTGGCACATTATAATGTTCAATTTGGAAAGGTGGCCATTTGAGAAGAGAGCTGAGGGATGTGAGGTGGGAGAATCTTAGGACACCTTTGCCACATGCCAGATGTGAAAGAAAATTCAATCATTCAGCTGTCTCTTCAGAGCATTTCTCTCACTTATGTGCACAGGCGCACACACACACACACACACACTCATGAACACAGAGAAATTGTGTTCTGTCAGAGTGGTTACCTGTCTGCCAGCATGAGTGTGAAAGTTAATGTCAAGGTGGGAATAATCTCCTCCTATCACCTCTCACTGAACGAGGCAAATATGCATTCTGCAACTCCTACCCCGAACTAGGTCAGCTACAATCATTTTTTTATGTGCTTGACAGCAACATGGATTGTCTTTCATCTTTAATGGTCGCTACTTTTCTTTCTGTGCGCTCGTGTCATTCAGGAACGAAGGAGAATCTCACTGCGTCTAAGATCCTTTTGGAAATGTGGCCGAAGATTGAATCCGACGCCGACAGACACGCTGCCTTCTTGCTACGGTAAAAAAACACACAATACAATAAGTTAAAAAAAAGATGTCTTCACTATGCATCTTAATGCAATTATGTGAGAGGATATGAGCGCTCCTACTACCGCTCTGTGCCCGTGCCATGTACATGGTATGGCATGCACTTAGACTCTCTGTTGCACTGCATGCCCAGAATCTGCTCCCTCTCCTGGTTGCGGCAGCCTGTGGGGGCCATGCAGGGAGCATTTTCCACATTGTGTTCCATCTTTTCCCAGTGGTACCATCTGCTGTTTATACTCTCCTCGTTCCAATCGGCTAGCAGCGTCTGCTGAATGACCTGCTGCCTGGGGAAAGTATGTGTGTGCATGAGCATTGAAAGCTCGGTCAATGCGTGGAGGGGGGGGTTGCTTGGGTGTTGTGAACCTTTGAGCATGTGTTTTTCTTAACTGACAGAAATATCCACTTCAGTCAAAGATCACGCTGAGAGGCAAAGTGCATCTCCTCTCCTCCAGTGAAGTCTTTTTTATTTATTTTCCTGTTTTTTTTAGTGTTTTTTTTTTCTCTTTCTACTGGATTTCTTTTATAATCCGCTACATAGAGAAGAAGTTTGTGCAAAGTGAGAATAGATTTTGTCGTGGTCTTTTCATGACATATATGGTTTTATTTGAAATTTCTAAATGTGTTCTCCCCCTGTTGTGTTGTCTTTACAGGTATATCATTGAAAATTCTGAGGGGAAAGCAGAGCTCTACCCCTGTCAACAGGATGAATCGGCCAGAATCACCTTTGCTGATTATTCCGTCTCTGTTCAAGACACCAGCAACTCCTGGCTCTTGATCTTTAGGTCGGACAACACCAGAACACAAACGTTATGCCAAATGAAATGACATCACCTTTACGTCACATATTCAGCTCTAATTTGTAAAGAGGATGTGGTGTAAATGCTTTAAATACTTGACAATTTAGTCAGACCTTGAAATTGGATTCTCTGTTGTCTGCTTTTTTGTTGTTGTTGCTTATACAGAGAGGTGTTCCTGGTTCCTGAGGAGATGCTGCTGGTACCACAGGTCCACTCCACAATCCCTAACTGTTGGCTGCACGTCATAAATAATGACACAGGAGAGGAGGTGGATACGATCGGCAGAGAAGTAGTACCCCATGTCTATCAACCAAATAAGGTCTGTGAATGCAAAAGAAATTTAAAAATAAATAAACTCTTACACTTTAACACTTCAGAAACTTTAGCCCGACTTAACTGGATGCAAACTTACGGTCCGTGCATCAGGACCAGATGTTGCTGCATAGCGTATTACTAATTCTAAATACTAACACTCATGATTAAATTTTCCCCGTATCTCTTGTCCCAGCTCGGTTTTACCTTTGTAGCAGAGAGCATCACACCTGAACTCACCCCTGCTGGCGCCACATGGAGGATGCGCCTGATTGGTTTAAAGGAACCCCTTCCAAAACTGTCCCATGAGACTCGACCCAATACATTCTCAGTGAAGAAAGTCCAGGATTATTACGTTCCCAATGACAAAAATCTCATTTGTCGGTAAGAGAACCATAAGGTGTATGTTTAATTGAAAGGTTCAGAAGAGGAACAGCATTGGTCAAATTAAATGTATTGTTATAGTTTCAAAGACAGGATTTACTTAAGGATGCTCTGAAAAAAGTAATAGTTCCACCATTATCTGAACCTTTTTGACAGCTACCGTGTGCAGGTGACGTCGGACACCCTCGGGACGATTCAGTTTCAAACTTCCAAGCCTGACGTGTTTATACGCCTGTCTGTTCTGGACCAGGAGAAGGAAGTGGAATGCAGAACAGGACAGGGCCATGTGACAATTCCTGTGTTCTATTTCCTGGCCAACACAGGTGAGCAAACATTAGGTGCAGTCAGTGAAGTAATTGTTGAATGAAGTCCTTCTGGATCACAGCAAAAAGATGTGTGCTTCATATTTGTCTGTCAGAAAGTTACATGTACAAGGTCTGCTTCCCGATAAATGTTTACCCAGTTTTCATTTTGAAATCTTTATTCTATCTTGAAAAGTTTACAGTTCGATATTAGAATTTGCCTGCGGTAGAGTCTATTAGGGGACAAGACAGACCAGCTTACAATGAGCATGACAATGAATTGGGGCTTTACCATTTGCAGTAACCCTCAGTGCTCCATGGCAGACATTATCCAGGGCGTGTAAGTGTTGCGAGAAGGCATGCATGTATAATAAATAAGAGCCTCCTCTAAACCTTTACACATACATATGGAGGAATGTTGGGTTTTATATGAGGTGTGTCCTTTTTACCTTCATGTGAAGTGGCAAATGTTGTATAGTGGGGGCTTTGATACTCCATATGTATTGATTTATGATTTATTAAGTGTCAAGATTTATTTCTTGAATTCAATATAATATTTTTTTGGAGTAGGGGTGCTTTTTTTAATCTACTATATGTGTGATTTGAAGTATATCCCATGTTCTACTGTTTTTCTTTTTGCATTTTTCCATGTAAATTATTCAACTATTAATGGTTTTTGCATGTTTAAGCACACCAGAAACCACTGAGCTCATCACACTGCTGGGGTGTGTTGTAAGGAGACGTGTAGCTAGCATGGCAAGGTGTGTGAATCAGGACAAAGCATTACGATGGCAAAAAAATTTGCAGTCTCCAAAAGGAGAAACTAAAGAAAGGAAAACTTTTTAAAAATTACTTCACCACAATAGTGATCCCTCCCGGCATAACATGGAAGACAGTGGGCCTGCCCTCCCAGTTCAAACTGGCCAATGAGGTCAGAGCTTTAAACGGATGTTGCCAACATCATTTTCTAAAGATTCTTCCAACCGCACGTCTCAATGTGTTGTTCCACAATCAGACATCCAGAAAAAACGAACCACGACTGCCTCCTTATGTATTTACCTTAATTACTTCATCATACATCATTTGTCCAATCAAATCTGAGACCCCACCTACTCGTCCTAACTCATGAGCGAGCTGCCTTTGGGGCGTGCCGCTCCTTGAAGCTCAAGAAGACTGCCACAAGGGACCAACTCTGGCAGGTGATGGTGTTGTTTTAATGGGCTGCTTCTTTTAAATTAACCAAATAAACTTGACTTTAAGGAGAGGCACAGTTCTGCCTGTAGCAACTGGAAGTGTATAAAAAACAGAGAAACATAATGGTGTGAATTACGACAACCTTTCTGCAGTGCTTGCTAACGGGGTGCACAGTGGGTGAATATCGATGTGGTTTTCTTTGTTAAAGAAAATGATCTTGTGAAAATCCAACTGAGATAAAAAATGTTGTCAGTCAAAAACAAACAAATGTGTCTTCAGGCAACAAGCTAGGCCCCTGCATTTTTCCCTTTCCATAACTGTGATTCAGTTCACAACATTGCAAGCAGGTTTTATTTTTCGCTATGCCTGGACTTGCTCAAGGCAGCAGGATGAGCCTCCTTTCTTTAATCATTTTCTGTCCCTTTTTTTCTGACACTGTCTCATGTTTGGGTTTTTTTTTTTTTGTTGTTGTTTTTTTAGGGACAATGTTCAGCTCCCTATTCCCAAAGAGATGAATAGTGGCAGCATTACTGTGAGCTAATGTGTAGTCTGTAAAAACACATTAATCTTGTTTATTCAGTATTATCTCCTGATCAGCCCTCCAGCCTGGAATTGGGCCAAGTGAAAATTCTGCCACTGTGGCATTTGCCAAACCTGAATTAAACTACACATTGTCTGAAAGCACAAAGCCTCGCGATTCAAACGATGTGAACCCTTTCAAGCTACTAATATCACAGCAACACAAGCAGCAGCAGCAGCAGCAGTGCTTCCTTACTTTTTAATAAGGGGGTGTACACACTAAGACGGTATTAGCTTTGCGTCACCGAGGGGCAAATACGACTTCTAAGAGTCCGACAAACAAAATTGCACTAAGATTTGTATTTTGTTTGAATGCGCTGAAACCTTTGAGCCATCCTGGAGTCCATTAGGAGTTGACCTGAGAATGTATGCTATTCAGACTCTAAGATGTTAAAATGAATCAAAGAAGGGCAGTTTGCACACCCTGCCCGTAAGACGTCGACTTTGCTAAATACCTCTTTTTCTGTTTCAGACCCCGGCTGCACAGATGAAAAGAACCAGAAGGGATCCCCCACCCAGGACGCTCCGCAGCACAGGAATGGGGCTCACAGCACAGTCGGGAAATCAGACTCTTCATCTGACCAGCTTCAGCCTCCCACAGAGACTATGGTATCACCGACAACTGTCTGCGTGGTATCTGCTATTGCTCCAACACTTAAGTGATCTCACTTGCATGTGCATCTCACTTTCCTTCTCTGTCTTTCTCACCCACTTGCTTGCTGCCTGTTCATATCAATTTTTCCTGCCAGATAACGCCTTGCTTGTAAGCGCACACACACACACACACACACACACACACACACACACACACACACACACACACACACAAATTTGCACTCACCCACACAGACACATTCTCACAGACCAAATTTTGACAAAAAGAGCAGCAGAAACTGGAGGGGTGGTTTTGTTGTTGCCGTCTGATTTTTATCTGCGCTTGTCAGGGAGCAGTGATTTGCGCATGATTTATGACTCACTGTATTGTCTGAATACCCCCTATCTAACAGACCTGTTGTCATAGTTCGACGGTTGCCAAAGCATATGGTATGCTCTATAAGTGTGTACCATCACACACTGGCATCCGCATGCACGTGGAGCACAAGTGCATACAGCTAGAAAAAAAACAAATCAACATTTGTTGATTTGTTTTGCTGTGGACGCCGTCGGTAGTACCAGCGAATGCATCTGGAGAACAACCAAACATTTAAATATTCCCTCAGCAATGGCTCCGTTTCACAGCAGTGAGTTAATAAACCTTTGAACCACAAGCAGATATCTTTGCAACAGACCGAATAAGATGTTTTTGTTTGAATCCTGCATGTGCTTCAGACATTTTTGACACCAAATCTCTTTGCTTAACAAACTAACGGTGGTTTTATTGAGACAGATTATATCAGATACCATTGATCAGCAGCCGGCCAGAACGAACAGCCATAAATCAGGAGCTAGAATTGATGAAGACGTAGAGAGAAGATTCAATGATTAAGGTGCCATGTAGTGTCACAGGGACACAACATCACACATATTGATGCTCAGTAATTGTGGATTAATGGTGAAGACAGTTTAAGTGTAATCAGAGTTAAACACGTGTAAGCCCATGAAAAACCAAATGCTGCCACTGTGGCTGTGGTGTTGCAGGTTTACATAAAAACACAATCACCTTCTCCAAAATGTTTTTTTTTTTTGAGTTCTAATACAGACTTAAAGGTTAACATCAGACAAAATACAACTATATCTAGCAAAATGTCCATTTACGTAGCGTTCTGCATGGCCGGCTCCGTTAGCTTGAGTCTCACCTTGGAATTTAGTCTAAATTCTGTCTTTGCTGCTCAGTGTGATGGATGTGGGAGTTATCACCCGTGATACAGTCTTGGCTAACAAGCCCTCTGCCTCCTCTCTCCCTTTGTGCAAAGCATGTGGTTCTGTCAAAGGGTCCAGAGAAAAGCAAAAACAAAACGTGTTGTTGTTCTTTAAGGTCTTTGTCTTTTTTTGTAATGTGTATATCTGTCATGTTTGGTTTATACTGCAATGTGGGTGTTTCATGCTAACTTTGCTTGTCTGTGTTTCACAGGGTCATAAGCACATGGTACAGGCAGAGGTGCTTCATAAGAGCTGGGATTTGGATGAATCTCAGTTGGCTTTTGTTCATATGCTCAAAGAGTTGGAGAAGAATGAGATGAGAGGTACATACTGAAAAAGATCACAAGTGCCACATCAGTCAGCCTTTTTGAAATGCTCAATCGATAGCCGGGAGGGTAAAAAGTCACACACACATATATATATATATTGTGCTTTCCTTGGATACACACATGTGTAAAGTTAATATCGTCACATGAATCTTGATCTGAATATGAAATCCACAATATGCATGATTAATTTCAGTATCCCCAAATATGCTTGTAATGGGCCATGAAGCAGTTCCCATTTCATGACGACAGTCATAAGTTAGTCAGCATCTGAGCCCTGGGTTCTGAATGGATTTGCTAATATGCCCTTCATGTTTGTTTGTGTGCAGCTTCTTTTTGTGTTCAGCATGAAATGCTGCTGATAGTCAGTAGGCAGTGTCAGGGGCCAAGGCAGACGCAGTTTATGCTTTGCTTCCGCTAGCCAGGGGCCTGTAATCACAAGCCTAATGAAAGCCAAATGAATACAGCTGCTTTCGCAGATCAGTGTGATTTCTTGTGCCCACTGGTTGTTGACTGAGGCAGTAATCCTGTCCTCTGCCACCAGCTCTGCTTTTCCTCCTTTAATCACACTGCACAATTTGAATCAATTGAAAAATCAGGGCTTTGAAATTTGCAGAAGCTTCTCAAAAATTTGAAGGGGATGAATAAAGCGCAGCATGAGTGGATGCTGATGTGAAAGGGAGGCTGCATGGGGACAGTTTGCATGACTGCATGAAGAGAAAAGCCAGTTATTGAATTCTCGTTCTCTTTTCTCTGCTGTCCCTGACAGTGATCCTTGTATTTATCCATTCAGTTTGCGTGGCATGAAATCTACAGATGATCTGTGTGTATGTGTCGTGTGCAAGAAGAACACTAATGATTTGTTGCTGCCCTAGATATGCTGCATGTTTACTTACATCTGGTTTCACTTTACAGAGTTATAACATTACGGTAGCGTATGCTCATGTTTGTCCGCGTATGTATAGTGTCCACACAAACCTCCTGTGTTTTCCCAATAAGCTTTTGAAAATGGGTCAATAGGATGTCAAATGAAGTTGGCTCTTGCCCCCTGGTGCCCTGGGAAATATCTCAGCAGGAAAGTGAATTAATTTCACCCAGTTTAACTCTGTCTCAGTGGTGAGGCTGTGCCCTTGATCATGCTCCCTACATGCTACATGGATACACACGCACTACATGCCACGGCAAGCTTTGAAACCTCTTTAACAAGCTGTTTAACAAGCTGTAGTCAAAAATACTGTGCTGCACATGTTTAATGCATGCACATTTCCACATCTCTGCTTTGAATCCCAATATATACCGTCAAAGCGGTCAGTTGTCAGCAGTTGAGGTTTGCGTTTTCATTTCCTCGCCAACCTCGGAGACGTTTTCATACTGGGCTGCAGATACAGAAGGATATAGGGTTTCCCTGAAAGAAGCTTTTGTTTTTTATTAAACTTTCTATTTAAGTTAGTTCATCTTAATCGGTTTTCAATACGTGTCTCATGCTTGAAACTACAACAACATAGACTGATGTTTAAATCCAGTTTGAACCCTGAATGTCTATATGACTGAAGATAAGAGAAACTCGATGAGCATGCACCAAAAGCTCTTCGGGCAGAATGGCAGGGTGTCTGCTAAATGATGGATTATTACGCCTCTGTATCGGAGAAGTGAGACTCAGAGTTAATGCTTCGTCTAAGCTGGGGATTGTGTTCCTTTCAGCTTTGAAGTGCAACAGTGCCATCTAGCACACATGCGACCACACAACACACTGGCGCTGTTTTCCACGCTGCCACTTCACATGAGCTTTACTGATGTTCAGTAAAATGTAAACAGCTTACATTCATAGTTTTAGCCTCTTTCATTGTAACCAAAAGGCATTTAGTTTACCTGTTAGGAAGAATAGCGTTTTTAGGGACAATAGTCGCTGCTTTTATGGAACACAGAATTCAATACTGTGTTATCAGTGTTTGGAAGTACACAACAGATTTTGTTGATGACAACAGAATAAGTGAATCTACTCGATCTCTTCTTCAAAATGCAGTACACAAGCCAGAGGATTCGAAGCCTTCATCCACCAGCGACACACCAAGCCGTGGGGGGCGCAAACATTCCAAGAAGCCAGCTGCCAACTCCAAATCTGGCTCCAGGAAGGAAATGGTAATATTTAACCACAGCACTGTGACAGATAACAACAAACACCACAATATTGTACACTGAAAACTAGGATCATTTATAATACTGTGTACTTATGATCCAGAACCTGAAAGATGAGATATAGAAGGATCCTTTTTTTTTTTTTTTAACCTTCTAACAGTGACCATGATGCTATACTAGAGCCAAACCTGTCATAATGAAAAATAAATAAGGAAAAAAAACTTAAATATGTCATTTTTTACATTTTCCTTTCATTTATCCATTTATTCATTGATATTTTTTTTACCCACTTTTTTAATTTCAACATTTATATTTATTCACACAGGCATTTATTTATTTATTCGTTACTCATTTTTTTTCCATATATATATTTACTCCCATAGGCATTTTTTAAAAAGTTTTTCCTCATTTAAAAAAAAACAAATCATATACATCTATTGTCCTATATATTTATTTCCACATTTATTTTTTTAATTTATTTTTTCCTCATTTTTCTTTATTAATTTCAAATATATATTTTTATTTCCATTTTTTTTCCCATGTTCATTTATTTTATTTCCGCATATATTAATTTTATTTCCACATTTATTTATTTATTTCTGCACTTATTTTTGCTTTTTAGAATAGAATAGAACAGAAATACTTTCTTAATCCCTTAGGGGGAAATTTTGTTGTTACAGTATAACGATAAGGTTACCACCACCATAAATACAGATAAATACTTGTCCTCATGTGCACACATTTATTTTCCCACTCTTCCACATCTTTACTTTTCCTCACCGATTTTCCCTCAAGTGTATGCTAATGAGGTAGGCGTGTCCAAACTTGGCCTAAAGCATGATTGGTTAAAAAAAAAAAACATATATTCAATTATTTGTTTCCTCACTGATTCATTTATTTTTAATAATGAACGGTTTGGCCCTCCATACGATACAGCTAAGCTAACTGTGGTCTTTATTAGCTTTTTTTGCATTCGACTTTCTCATTTGATCGAGATGCAGTACAATATTTACCAAATAGAAGTT